TTTAGCTAAAAAACGACAACAAAACCCTTTCCTAGATCCCTTCTTCACCAAAAATCCCTAAAATATTCAAGAAAAACAAACTCCGGAATGATTTTCATTGAAAAAGTGGAAGCTGTCTTTATTCTTTTCGAACAATCTCTTCGTTTTTACATTTTTTTTCTCAAGCTTTTGATTTTTGAATCTCCTTTTGGGACAACTCTGTTCAGAAATGAATCTCTTTTCTCTTTTTCTCTTTGCTTGCATCTCAAAACATTTCATACATTTCAAAGCTTAGAACTTTGAGAATTTAATGACGAATCACTTTGTTTAAACACTCACAAATCATAAGGAAAAGTATTCCCATTTTTCTCTATGCACATTATCCAAGACCTGGAGTTGATACTTTTACGAAGTACAAGAAAAATTAGCCCGTTTCTTGGTGGATTTTTGGGTAATTGATACCTCATTGATAGGATAATATAATCAAAAATAGTACTAGTGCTAACTATAAAATGATAGCTTACAGTAACCCTTGTCCTTCAACGAAAACCTGTCGAATACAAGAATTCGAAGATGAGTATACACTTGGTACATATTGGGTTGGTGAATTGAAAACTGCGGGCTATTGTCATATGTGATATTTTGAGCACTTTCTTCAAAAGAAACCCATTTTGGTGTCAATGGAAAAGTTGTAGAGAATTAAAAATTAAGCTTATATCCAAATTTTCAGAACGATTCAAAAACTGGTTTCAAGAAATGCCAAATTTACGAATTTTCACAAAACTTGCATTTTAAGCGAAACTACTATGTGTATCTTTTTGGAAATTTGGCTATAAGCCTAATTTTTGATTCTCTACAACTTTTCTATTGACACCAAAATGGGTTTCTTTTGAAGAAAGTGCTCAAACTGGGACATCTCCAGTTCTCCATTTTTGAGTCTCACACTTGTCTCACACACAAACCAAAATCCTACGAAGAAAGAGGAATCCGCAAATTGCCTGTAAAATGGGCAGAAGTCGCCAATAATAAGGGAAATTATTTCGAATGAATTTATGGTTTTATGTTCAATAAACTTTAGTTCAAAGTCCCGCAGTTTTCAATTCACCAACCCAATATTTTACAACTTGGTTTCTAGTTGATTGGATAAAGATAAAGACTTGGTTTCCAATTTGAATAAAGTTAGCTTACAGTAGCAAATGTTTTCTAAGAAAGTAAGATAATAAATAGAACAGGTTTTAAGAAATTTTGATAACGAAATAGCTTTACAGTAAGTTGGGATGAGGAAAAGTCGAACTTTTTGCCAGACAATTCTAGAAATAGAGCCTATCCGAGCACCCAAAATCGAAAAACAAATGCGTCATTACGACTAGATGCATTCATAAATCACTCACATTTCTCATCTATAAAAATGCGTTGAGCAATTATTTGTTCTATTTACTCGAGCTAAAATTGGCCTCTTTCACGATGATTTGATGATTCTCTCTAAGCCTCACCAATGACGAAAAACACAAGTAAAATTGCAATTCTCTGAACTCACTTTTTTATCTTTTTGCTTATTTTTCAAAAGATACACAGTTAATGAGTCGATTTGATGATAGAAATTCAGTTTTTCTTAATTCTCAGGGTTTTCTCGGAATTTTTTGATGATGAAAGCTTACATGTATGTCATTCTGAAAATATTCAGCTAAACAGCTTGAATTCTTCATGGCTCAGATGCTTTTCATCATTCTCTTCATTTTATTTTCATCTCAAAGTTTAAAGATTCAATAGATCTTTGTTTTTGGCTTCCGAAATTTTCATTTAACCAGTGATTGACTTTTTGTCCTTTTTGTGCATTTTGGGGAAAGGAAATTGGCTGAGTTTTCATTCGATTCAATCATTTCACCTTTTCTTTTGCTTTCAATTCATTCATTCTTTGTTTTATACCTTGATACAGCTTCATATAGCTTTATATAGATTTATATAGCTTTATATAGCTTCATATAGCTTCAAATAGCTTCAAATAGCTTTATATAGCTTTATATAGATTTATATAGCTTTTTTTTTTTTTTTATTTTTTTTTTTTTTATATAATTTTTTATTTTTTTTTTTTTTATTTTTTTTTATTTTTTTTTTTTTTTTTTTTTTTTATTTTTTTTAAAATAAATTTTTTTTAATTTTTATTATTTTTTTTTTTTTTTTTTATATTTTTAAATATTAATTTTAAAAAAATTTTAAATTTTTTAATAAAAATTTAAAATTTAAAAAATTTATATAATTTATATATTTTTTTATAGCTTTATATAGCTTTATATAGCTTCAAATAGCTTTATATAGCTTTATATAGCTTTATATAGCTTTATATAGCTTTGAGTCTTCTACTTAAACTCTTCTAAAATAGTCTTCTACTCAAACCCTTTATACTTTGTGCACTGATAAACGCGTGTTTCCTGGCACACTTGATTCATCTTCTGCAACGCTGGGCTTCTCACAGTTAAGACGTACTTTGAACTGAAAGTGTACACCCTTTCTGGCACACTTGTTTTACTTTGTTGCCACGATGTTTATCCTCAAATGTTTATCCCTCATAGCTCGTGTGTACCTGCTTGTAAGCACACGATTTCCTAGCACACTCGATTCGTCAATTACCGATTCATCTTGTGAGAAAAACAAGAATCGAGTTTCAAAAAGAAATTTCTCACTCTTTTCATTAACTTTGACATGATCTGTTGTCGAATGAAAGATTCAAAAAATCAAATGAAAGATTCCCCAGTCACAACCTCGTTTTTCCTTTCTTTCATATGAATTTTAACGAAATGAAACTTTTTTTCCTCTCATCAATAATTCCTTTTTTCCCTTTCTTTAAAATGATGGCGTATTTTGTTTGCCGAGTATCTGATGGCCCTTCTTTAAGAGAGAAAAAATGGGGAAAGAAATGGACAAGACAAGGAACCGATCTTTTTTCGGCCAGTCTCGTGTTCCTTTGATCAATTCTATATCATTTAGACTCACTCACCTATTTCTGTTTTTCTGTTTTTTCTTGTTTTTTGATCAAGATCATTTGTATTTGTTTGCCGACTCTTTTCCCCGTCTCAGAGTTTTAGCTTTTTCCAGAAGTTTGCCTTCGGTTTTATCTACGATTGCCATCGCTTAGCTCGTGATAGCTTTTTTCATGAACAACCTTTTGCCGAACATTTCGATTTTCCCGAATCTAAGAATTCCTAACACTAAGAATGAAAATCAAAAGAAATCCCCTGCTCAAGAATATTTAAAAAAAAAAACCAGGTCTAACCTGCTTCTTAATGAGTAGCTTTTTGGAGGCTAAACAAAGAGTAAATTTCTGCTGGATTCCGTTTATCTATTCAGCAATCTATTCAAATGATGCAAAGCCCGAAGTGTTCTATAGTTTCCGTTTATACATGTAAATTATTGCTAATTGATTTATTTTTTGCTTTTATTAAGTGAAGAATAGATTTCTTTTGACTAAAGTACACGATTCTTGATAAATATAAACAGTATTTTGCTAACCAGCACGTACTTGTATTTGTATATCTTCTATAATCCTTCCAATCACTTCACTAAGTCTTCTGTTTCCAATTATTAGAAAACTAAACATCGGCAATCTATTCAAATGATGCAAAGCCCGAAGTGTTCTATAGTTTCTGTAAATGACCTACTCGAGAATAGATCGAAGCCATCTCCGAAATCAGCTCATTTTCTTGGATCTAAGCTTTTGACGCAAAACCTTTTGATGGCGAGTCTAGCAAGAAATCATATCTTGATTGATGAAAAAAGAAGCCATTGAAACCCCATTTTCCAATGCTACAAAGGTAATTTTGAGTCATTTTGAGCGCAAGAGATTATCTCTTTTCTTCTAAACACCGAAGATACAATTGTCTTTTCGAGAAAAAGACAATAACACATGAAATAATGGCCATTTTTCCATTTTCCCTTTCTATAAGCTTTTCCCGATCGACAGAAACCCTTCCTCATTCTCAATAAAATGATTTATACTTATTTTTTTCTTGAATATCATTTGATATTAGTCAGTTAAAGAGTCATTTTTTTTTTGACGCCATCCCAATTTCCGTGTAATTTCCCCCACTTTATGAAGCAAGTTTTTCTTTTAATTATCGACAATGTTTGAAAGATTTACTATTGATATTTTATTTTGATACATTTCTTTTGACGTCTGATGATCTTGGCCGTCTGATGATCTTGGCAAAGATGATCTTGGCCGTCATTTTATTTTATTCTTTTAAATATTTTGCTTATTGTGAAAGATTTGTCTTACCAATTTGCCAAATTTGAAAAAGCTTTTTTTTCCTTTTCATTTTTAGAATAAAACTATCATAATCTTGGATTTACTTTTAGGCAATCAAACTATTTTCGGTCAGATTCTCTTAGGAGTTATAAAGGTATCGAAAGATGCAAAAAAAAACTGGATAGATTGGATAAAAACTAGAGACAGATTTAGGTAGAATAGTTTTCAAGAGTTGACAAGTTTTAGAAACTGAAGTATATGAGAGGAAAACACTCATTGTCAGCCTTGATGCACCAGGGAATGAGCTGATAGTGAGACCATTATCTACGTATCCTTATTCTACTCAAATTTCTACAACTCTTCGACCAAGACTGTATTTAGTTAGATAGCTCAAAATGATGATAATATTACACTGAGAATTGGTTGTCCTTTCTTGTCATTTCCTGATTCCTTTTCGATTCCATCACCTGTGTCTGGCCGTCCTCTTCGCCAATCCCCTTCTCCATTCTCCTTCTCCATTCCCATTTCCCTTCTCCATCAAACGACATCAACTATTACAATCATTCCTTCAAAAAACACCTGCACTTTTTTATAAAACAGGTGAATTTCTTTCGTCTTTCACACCAAACACTTTTTTTGTTCTATTTTCTGAAGACTCTTTATTTTTCACAATAGAAAAACGATTTTAGAGTTGATTAAAGGTAAAAGGTGAAGAGGACTATATTCGTATTCAAACTTCAACTTAAATTCAAATTGATTACAATACGAATCACTCGAAATGCTTGCCGCAGTCTCGGCCGTGCTCGGCGTCGTGAATTTGGTCGTTGTTTGCGGCAATATTTTCGTGCTCTACGTTCTCACGTCACAGGTTGGATATTTAGTTCTAATCTATAAATAGTTATCTAATAGATTTTTAGCTTTATAGAAAAAAGAATTGCTTTCAGAAATCCTTGCACAGTCCGACGAATTTTCTCGTACTGAGCCTGACGATCTCCGATCTTCTCCTGGGTGTCGTCATTTTGCCATTTGCCATCATGCAGGTTAGAAATGATTGGATAATGTTACATCTCTTTCTTTAATTTTTAATCTTCTTTATCTTTAATTTCTTTAATATCTTTAAATTAAATTAAACATCCTTTATTAAATATCTTTACAAATATACTGACAATCTCCAGGAGCATCGCAAAGAGTGGATCTTCGGCGAGACATGGTGCACACTATGGTTGGCGCTGGATGTTTGGCTCTCAACAGCCAGCATTTATAATCTGTTGGCTATCAGTTTTGATAGGTGAGTTTTTGAAAAAAATTATGAAAATCTTAGATTTGATTGAATACTTTTAAAAGATCATAAAATAGAAGAGCTTTAAAGTTTAAAGCTTCCTCAAAAACGAATTTTCTGAAATGTGTCAGCTACCTATCGGAATCTTGCCGCAAACTACCGTAATCCAGTTTTTGTCTGTCTGTCTGTCTGTCTTTTTGTCTGACAAGGGATACAGTAGTTCTCGAAAGTGGACATGTTTCAGAAAATACTCTTGAACTTGTTCAGAGGCAAAGCACAGAGTCAGCTTTGAACCCAAGACTAAACCAATCCACCTTCAGATACATGGCCGTTCGTCAGCCGATTAAATATCCGATTATCTCCTCAACGAGGTATTAAATCACACGGTTTACGCAACTTTTTTTTCCAATTCCAGAGTGATCCGTCTGATGATCTTGGCCGTTTGGGTGGTCTCTTTCTGTTTAGCGTTTCTCCTGTGGATCCTCCAAACGCGACTCGCCACCTCCACGAATCTCTCCATCGATTTATCATCTAATCTATCAAGTAATTGGAAAATTTCAAAGAATAATAATTTTAATGACATTCTAGATATTCCAAAACATTGCATTCCGATGACTCTTCCCGATGAGTACATTCTATTCTCAGCGTCTTTCTCTTTCGTTGTGCCGGCTTTTGTGATGGTGAGTGTTTTTGAATTTGCTAGTTGTGATAGTTGAAAGGTAAACAAGAGCAAATCTGAGGTTTTTAACACTCTGCATTATCATTTTCTGAAACTTGATCGTGTCAACAGTCCTGAGCTCAAATTGGATTACACTATTTTCTCTGAACTTGCTGATACATTTTCATTGGTCCTGGACAAAAGGAAATTTTTGACTTTTGAAGGAAAGTTATGAATCTTCGAAAGGTGACTTTAAAAACCTTGATGTCGGACAAGAGCCAACGATTGTTACTCTCAAAATTCCAGGTTGTGCTAAACGTTTCTATCTTCACAACGGTGTTGAAAACGGGTCGCTCGCGGTGTGTATCGGTGAAAAGCGGTGCTGAGATGAGAATTCATCGCGGGAATACGAATGCGAAATTTCATGTAATCTAAAAAAAGAAGATTTCGAATTTGTATTAGATTTTCAATCAAAACGAAATTCATAACTTTCAGAATCTCCAATCGTTGACGAGAACGCGATCAACCGGCGATGATGACGCAAGGAAAATGACTAAATGCTCGGTCATCGTTTCAAAGGTGCTTAGGAATTTGAATTTCTTTTAAATTTCATGAAAGAATACAAGATATTATCTTCTTCTAGATATTATCTAGATTTTGATATTAAATCAATTTTCTTCTAGGGACAATCCTCGAATCAAACAGCGCAAACGACTCCATCGGGATCGGAAACAAATCTCACGCTCAATCTCGAGAATGTTCCGCTGAAGATTAATGACACCGGAAAGTGTAAGTTTTTAAAGATTATATTTTATCTAAAGATTCTAAAGATATAGATACGATATATAGAAAGATATAGAAAGATATAGCATACGATAATATCCATTCTATTTAGAAACTATAATTTTCTAGGTTATTTTAAAAATTACTGTAAGATAAACTTTGATTTCAATCACTTCACTTGCTTTTAAAATAACCCGGCAGATATAAATGGATGGCACTCATCAAGCTTTGTAACTGATAATGAGATATTGATTATGTTTATGAAGAGATTATAAAGCTTTTGCCTATTTCATTTCACTTCATCTTCAGGCGATTCTCCATTCTCCAACGATTTCCCGCCTCAAATCTCCCCATTGCCCACTATTCGAAATTTTCTCTCGCAAGTGATGGTTGTCTCGATGATGCCGAATCGAAAACGCAAAACCGAGCTGCTTGATCAGATCTCAACGTAAGTTTTTGTTTACATGTAAACAAGCTTCGAACAAGCTGTAAATCTCCATCTACAGCTTTTTACTTAAAACTGTAAAAAAAACTGTTTAAAGCTTTACTAACTTTAGTCCTTAGCGCTTTAAATTTCAAAAACAAATCATGGTTTTAGATCAAATCGCGGTAGCAGAGCGCGTTTCTCGATGAGAACCGAGCTGAGGGTGGCCAGAACAACGGCGGTTGTCGTTGGAGCATTTGTCATTTGTTGGTTCCCATTCACTACAATCTACGTTCTTCAGGTAAACGCATACACTATGTACTTTTGAAAAGATCTAATTATAAAGTTCAAATCAAAATAGATAGATCATTTCAAAAAAAAAGTAGCTGATTTCAACTGAAATTTCTGAAAAAGTTTAAGTGACACAAGGTGATGGTGATGAATTTTTCATGTACTTGATCATGTAATCAGAAATATCTCCAAAAAAAGTTCACAGAATTTGCTAATAGAGTTGTCCCACTTGATTGAGTAAAACATAAAATTTACTATGATTTTTAAAGTTTAATAGAACACGTTTTAACCTTTTAAAATCGTCTAACAACACTCATTATGGTATTTCAATTAATCCATCGACTTTTCAGGCTTACGAGATGTGTCCAATGTCGACTGAATGTGTTCCCCAATGGGTTTTCCTTATCAGTTTCTGGTTGGGATACTCGAATTCGGCCGTGAATCCTCTCCTCTATGCGGCGTTTTCTCGAGATTTTCGTGCGGCTTTCCGCAAAGTTTTACTCAGAAAGCAAAGCAGTCTCAAAAGCTTTTAGATATTTTAAGCAATACATTTGAATTTGAATTTGAAATTCATTTGAAAACTTAAAAACTAAACTATTATCGTTGAATTTATGTTAGAGAAAACATATACCGTAAATACTGTAATAGTACCCCACCCCGATAATGACCGTACGGAGTGTTGTGTAGTCGAGCTTTGAACGAGTGTTTCTCGACACTGGTTTATGCTACAATGCGCGCTTACGTATCAAAAAATAGCCCTGAATTTCGGCTATTTTTCGATACCAAAGACGCATTTTTGAAAGTACAGGCGCTTTGAAAAGAAATGAAATACTAAAAAAACTTTTGCGACTACGCGACTGTACGAAGGGGGGGTGGGGTACTCTTACAGTATTTACGGTAAGCTATTAAAGTGTAATATCGTGTAAACTAATATAAAATTGATCTAAACTTTCTGCATAAAATAGCTGCAAGAAAGGTAAATCATCTAAAAGATCTTTTGCAAAAAAAAAATTGTTAAAACTTTCTAGAAAATTCTCTTTGTTGCTTGCTTGTAAGTTCAAGATTTTCCCAGCTCAGGTTCACTTTTTGTCATGATTCTCTTCATTTCATGAATCATTCCCCATTCTCTCCCCAATTTCCGACCTCAATTTCCACATTGATCTCGAATTCAAGAAGAATTTCTACGCAAATCACTCCATTTTTCAATATTACAGGAAATTTCTCTTTAACCTCTTTTCTCTTTTCTCTTTTCAAACATCTCGAACCTTTTAATACGATGAAAAAACGATTTCCGGACTTGTTGCGTTTTCGTTTTTCATTTTTTTTTGCAAATTCGTGTTTTCTAGTGTGATATTTATTGAATTCGGGTAATTTTACATTTATTTTTTTTATATTTTTCTTTGTAAATTTCTAATGTCTAGAGATAAAGCCTTTTATTTGAAAGATTTTTGCACAGTACTGGACAAAGCACTTCACAAATAGTTGAATTACTTTGTATCGAGCTCGTAATCTTTGTCTATAGATTATCAGTATATAATTTCCTACTCCGGTAGAAATCCTTTATACGGTTGCCTCCGCACACAATCATTGTCATCACCCTGAGCCACGAAAAGAACATAATAGTTGAAGAAAACGATGAAAGTGACTGGAGAAAGGACACGGCAAATCTAGAAAAATTCTTTTCATTCACTTGATTTTCTATTCATCAAAGTGACACTTATAAGCAATTGAAGTATTTATTGCATTGCAAGACTGCAAGACTGCAAGACAGACAAGACATTGCAAGACAGACAAGACATTGCAAGACAGACAAGACATTGCAAGACTTTATCCTCATTTTCTTCTTCACCCACTTGATCTAATACATGCGCATGTCGGAGTGATCGCCGCTTTTCCATCAAGAAACACTCCTTCTCAAGCTCGGTGACAGCTCGAGACGCGTTTTTCTCCTTAAAAATCTTTGATATTTGAAAATAAAGGATGAACTATTCAAAAAGTCAAAGTACACTTGAATACTATAACTTTTAAATGAGTTTAACTGTAACTTTACATTAATCATTTACCATCGCTCGACTCCTCTTGATAAACGCCAAAATAACGAGTGATTCGACGAGGGATAAAACCGAAAAAGCCTGGAAATCGATATCGAACTTTGGAATGCCATTTTCTTATGAAATATTTACAATAATTATCTTCCTATTAATAGAAACTAAAATAGAAAAGCATTTTGAGTTGAATTGATGTTGATAAATTTCGATAAATTTCGATATTGATCCAAAATTTTGATAAGCAGGTCTATTGGAAATGAAAATTGCCCTTAAAAGCTTGAAAACTAGTATTTTCTCAATTGATTACTTCTGTACCTTCATCATTCCAAACCAAACATTCATCGATGTTAAATAGGAAGTTCGAATCGCTGAATCGTCTTTCTCCATTTGTACGAGAGCAAGAAGAACCTAAAAACATTATTAATCAAATTTTGATTTAAAATTCCAACCATGATCGGTGTCACAATCCGCACATCCTCATAATTATATGGAACATACGGCGCAACCCAAGCAAACATCTAAAATATTTATTGAAATAAGATTTTCCTTAGAGTTCGGCTTTAAATTCGCTTACAAGGGAACCTTCCCAAGTTACCCGCGAGTTACATTATGAGGTAGGTGCCAAAAGAAAGGCCAGAGAATGTACGTTCAGAAACTGTTTTCAAAAATCGCTAATTGGCAAAACGCACAAAGTTAGTAAGTTGACTCAAAATTTACAGAAACTTCTAGATTTTCATGTGAAGATGTTTATTTATTCTCTAATTCACTAATCCATTACCATTGCAAGTGTTGATGGAACGTATTTCTCCACAATGAATCGACCACCGTCTCTTTCGAGTAAAAAGAGAAGACGAAGACATGAGGAATGCACTGAAATATTGCTCATTCCAATAACTTTAACAGATTTTTTAAAGCCACAACTTTTAGTTCTACACCAGCTTAAACTCTAATTTAAATAAATTGCGCAAAGCTATCTATAAAGACTGGTATTCACACTTTTTCTTAATAAAGTAAGGAATGGCAAAGAAAGATTTCCAGAGAGGAGATTGAACCCTCGACCTTTTCGCTTTCTGAGCAGATGCATTACCACTGAGCTATCCAGTATCTTCTTGCCAGAGAAGAAAGAGAAAGAAAGGGGAAAGAGAAAGGAAGAAAGAGAAGGAAATACCCGGCTCTTCATAACCGTGGGCTTCAGAAGAGAAAGAAGATGCAAGTAATAAATTAAATTAATGAATGGCAAAGAAAGATTTCTGCAGAGAGGAGAAAAATATAAATATTTTTCTTATCTACTTACAGAGTTTATTCTCTACTTCACACGTATCCGCTGAGATTGTATTGATGTGCAACTCGGGAAGAGCGATGGCCGACTTGAAAGTGAATGGAACGGAATTCCATGAAAAGTTCACAAATGAATGAGGGTAGGCGACTAAAGTTTTCTTGATTAAAGAATGTTTTCTTTTTCAAACTTGAACTCAACAGTAGATCACATCTTTGTCGATCGTGCGGGTATTTGCAGAAAACCATTTGACATGATGGGAGAAGGGAAACTCTGAAGAGAGGAGGGTGAAACCCTTTAAACCCTTTGCCTGTTCTTTGTACTCTGGCAAATGCTTGATCTCTGGCATATTGGGTTCATATTGTTCAAATGACAGCAAGGCATTAGTATAGCTGTGCCAGTAAATATGCATTTGCCAGAGCTCAAAGTACGAACCTGAATTCAAGCTCATGTTTCTATGGATTTTCTAAACTAAGTGTTAAAAACTACATATTGTACCTTTGTCTTAAAAACTCTCGTAATCTGAGGTGCACAAATTGACAAGTTAAAAAGACAAGTTTAAAGTATAGTGTCAAGTGTGCACTTGACACTATACTTTAAAGCTATAAAATAAAAATACCTCATTGTGTATGTAACCAATCCTTCCGGAGTAATACGCATTCGGAAATTCGGGAATGAAACCTAAAAAATAAATAAAAAAAAAAAAATAAAGATAAAATCTGCTTTCTTATATTACCCTGTGAAAGTACGAGTATTTCGAGTTGACAAAATATGGATCGGGCCGCCAAATCTTGTCGATCACCGCCTTTTCTCGTAGAAGCACCGGTTTCGTGTAGTTGTTTCGAAGTCTAACAATTTTTCATTTACAAATTCTCAAAGCTCAATCACCCACCTTAAATCGTACCATTTCATCTCAAGCTCTAAATCAATTGTGTACTCCATTTGTTCACTGTCGAAATTAGCCAAGTGAATGATCTGGAATTGAACCCGAACGTTCACGGGAATATCTGGAAATGAAATTATTGAGGTTTAGAATTTTGATTACTACCAGCAAATATCAATGGTACAGTACAATTGTCGTAGCTAATCGAGCTCAAAACGGGAATGATGAAACTGCTACCATAGTCTCTAAAAGAGAATTTTAATTTCATTTAGAGTTTAGAGTTTTAGTGTCGTGCAGAATCGAAAATGTTATGTTTTTTTTTGATTTTTTCAATGAGCAATTCTACAAACCTGTACGAATCCGCGTAATCATTTGTCTCTAATTTGAGCGGATCGGCGAGAAGTTCGCGAAGGCGGAGAGCTTCCGTTTCATTGCCATCAACTCTAAGTTACAATCGATTCTTGAATTACAATCGATTCTTGAATTACAATCGATTGATCAACTTGCATAAAAATCTAACAATTAGACATTGACTAACTCACTTGTAACTCATGAGTTCAGATTCTAGTAGAGCTTCATCTAAAGAAGCTCTCTCAAACGTTCGTGGCCGATATTTTCTCCCTTTCGGCGTTTGAATTGATCCAAAGCTTTCTAGATTTTGTTTAGCTGAATGATTACTCTCAAAAAAGTGCAAAACATACTATAATCTTGCCAAATTAAGCTTATTTTACTAATCATTGCCCCAGGTAAAGAGCCAGCAAGTAGACTATAAGTTGAATCATAAAAAGATAACCAGCTTACGGTAACTATTGCATTTCTATTTTATTAAAAAGATAGTCAGCTTACGGTAACTATTGCCCGGTTACGGTAACTTTTTGCACTTTCTTAAAAACATAGCCAATTCATAAACTCCAACCTCTCAACTCCATTTCCGTTCCATTCAAGCTGAACTCATACTCAAAAGAGGTGAGATTCGTCGAATTGTTTCCATCGAAAGTCTCATTTATTGCGCCCAATAGTTGAGGGATTTGATCATTTAAATCAAAGGAATCCGTTTCATTTTCATTAACTTTATTCAAAAACGCTTTGATCAGCGCTTCATCTTGCATCTCTTCTTTGTCGCTTTCCAAGAATTCGTCGGTATCAAGCGGCTCAACCGCACTTGTCGACTCAGTTGTGGATTCATTTTGATCACCTTTTCCTGTACTTTGATTAACTTCATCACCATCATCAACTTGATCAACTTGATATTCTTCCTCCTTTTTATCATTCCCCCTTTCTTCAAAACTCCCAATCGGTTCATCGATTTGATCTCTCGGCAAACTCGTTGTCACTTTAGCCTCATTTCCTGCTAAAGCTTTCAAAAAGGAATCCAACTGCTCCTCATCTTTCTCATTCTCGAAATCAATTTTCCGATATTCATCATCAAACTTTTCCTTTTTCATTTTCTTCTTCTTCTTCTTCGGCCTCTTCCACTCTAAATGAGCATCAATTCTCTCAATGCTTATCTTTTTCTTCACCCCGATCATTTCCACTTGTTGAGTTTCCGTGACAATTTCCGTGGATTCTAAATGGTTTTCTGAAGGATTTTCTAAAGATTCTTCTTCAATTTCTGTAATAAGTTCTGTTATAATTGTCGTTGTCGTTGTAGTAGTTGTTGCCGTTGTAGTAGTGGTTGTCATTGTAGTAGTTGTTGTCGTTGTAGTAGTTGTTGTCGTTGTAGTAGTGGTTGTCGGCTGACCAGGCAACACCACCACTTTTTCGTGGTCATAATTCTGCCATCCCACCACTTCGTTTTCCTCTTTATCATCATCTTTTCCGTAAATCGCGAACCAATCAAAGAGTTTTCTTTTCTTTGAGAGTTTTCCCTTTGACTTCTTTTTTGGATATTCAGTGAATGACTGCGGTTCGCTACTTGTCTCTGAATCAATCACATCAATATTCTTGGAGATTTCATCAAAATTCTCCGTCGAAATAGGCAATTCATCTAAATAAAACAATCAAGATAACGGAATGCCCAAAAAATTCAATCTTAAATTTTTCAGAATGTTTTGATTTTAGGCTTTTAGGCGAGCTCGTTTAAAATTGCAGTATTTGCTTTGTCAATTTAAATCGTAAACAGCTATCGTGCTTATCCACTCACTTTTTTCTATTGTAGAATTTTCGTTCAACGAAACCTTTGATGTCCATATCAATAAAAGAATAAAAATCTTCATAGTTTTAGGAACATTTCAGAAAAATCGAAATAACAAACAGACGTATCCTTGTAGGTAAAAGTGGGGAAACACGAAATGGGGTGTAAATGGGAGCATTTTGGGGGAAAAACGGGGAATGGAATGAAAGGTCGATAGGGGAAATTGGGAGAAAAATCATTTGAAGGAAACTCGTGTACAATGATCAGAGAAATTTCCCTTTTTTTGCCTTTTCTTTGCTTTTGCTCACTTTTTCCAATCACATTTATCAAATGAACCGAAACATGATGATGATTGATGGAGAAGCTCTTGCAATTGCACTCATACAAATTAACCAGCCATCTACTTGACTCCAGTATTCTTGATCCACGTTGAGAAAAAGAGATATTTTCGTATCTTTCCCCCGCCACTCTAAAGATAAATGCTAATTTGCATCATCCATAGTTTCACCGCCACTAATGGGTCAATAGAAATGTACTAATAGTAAGATTTCACAGTGTTAAATATGTTTTCTGTCCATCTAATTGTACCTAATACTTACAGTAAGTAAACTGAAAATTATTATAAAGCCAGTGCTTGTAGATTTTTGAGCTTAATGGCGAGGAGAGGATGCGGATGATTAACATATGAACGCGAGAAAGATATGGAAATACAAAAAAAAAGATATTCGGCCGTGTTTCTTGACTGTTAGTTTTGTTTGTTAGCCAAAACTTGTTCCCAAAAATTTGGGCATAGTGAAAGTGACAAACAAAAATCGGCTCAGTCGGCTTTTTTCGGAATCGGCTCAGTCGGCGAAAATCGGCTTTTTTCAAAGTTTGTTTTAAAAAAAGGCAAGCACCTATATCAAGACGGTTTGCCAGATGGCGAGCGATTGTGCGCGCGCACAAAGAACATCTCGCGTCTCTCGATGTCTCTCTCAATTTTCTTAATTCTAACTCAATCAAATTCTATTTTATATTCATTCGCAAGTCTGAAATGTTCTCTTTAAAGTTATTTAAAAGTTAACACTAATAATATCTCTAAATAAAGTTATGAATCAAAGTTTGGACAAGAACCGGATACTCTAGACTTTGATAATGAGAGAGAAGAGTAGACTTGGCTGTTGATCTAGAACCAGTTGACTTGTTGGCTGAATATTTTTACTCTTTATATTTTTATGAGATAAGAAACTGTACCAGATAGCTAAAAATCGGTTTAGACAATAATTTTCCGCATGTTTCTGCATGCATCAACATCTACTATATATAAAGCAGAAGAGACGTCTGTCTGCCTGTCTGTGCGCAAACGCGACGCTCCGTAATTACGTTTTGCTCTATCGGTTAAAAAACAAAGTGTTCAGCTTTTGCGTGCGATATTTTGCTCCCAGAGGTTTTCAGCTATGGCAGATTTAACTTTTAGATTCATTTTTAACATTGGTTAACTTAACTTAACAGCTTAACATTGGTTACGGTAGTTTTAGTCATTTAAAAGAAAGAGCGTTTTCCGCTCGTTAACACATAATTGTCCTCTATTGAAATCGAAATTCGCGGCGCTTGTGTGTGCTTATCATTTTTCTTGAATGTCTTTGTTTTGCAAGGAAAGGAGCCCCTTCTCTTTCCTTCCCGCCTCAATCGATTCCACAAATTTTTTCGTATTTTTTTGTGAATTTGAAACAGTCGCTTAATTTTCTAGTCCTTTTTTTGACTCTTTTTTTTGTTGAAATTCCAACAATTTACAGTTCTACTTTACGTTGAAAAAGCTAGCTCAAACCTATCAGCTCAACGCTAGAATTTTTTAGATAATTCTGCTGAAAATTGTTGAAATAATGTCAAATGTGACAAGATTTTCCATCCCAAAACCCCTGGTTGCAAATTTCGAGCCTTTTTCAGCCGTCAAACAACTTCCACAATCCACCCACAGTGGATCGTATCATCCCAGGCTTGTCCTGGAGGCCAGATAACCGAAAACCCATTGTTATTGTGTGTTAAGATGTATTCCTCTCTTCATTTTCCCAAATATTTTAAGAAAAATCTTTGGATTTCATTTGTTAATCCATCGATTTCCCAAAAACGATCTCTTTTCAATTTCTTCTTTCTTCACAAATGTATTATATTGAGTATTGTATTGAGTAAGCAAAAATGCCCTTTTATTCATTCAATTTGTTGATTCAATTCCCTTAAAATGTCTTTTAAAAAGAAAAAAAAGGCTTTGAATAGATGAGCGAGGAAAGGGAAAAGAAGGGCAAGGGATGGATAGGGAAGGTTGTTGTTGTCTGTGTGTGCCATTTCTGTTTTCCACAACGCTGATCTTCGAGATCTTGAAAAAAAAGAGCTTATTAAATAAACGACATTCCGCTTTCACGACATGCTTATGCAAATGCAACCCTGTCCATTTTTCTTTTCTCTTTTAATACTTGCACTTTTCTACTCAATTGAACTTTATATTTGAAGTGTGTCATCCTAAAAGATTTTGAAGAAGATTATCCTAAAGATAATCTTCGAGATTTTCAAAAGTTTTTTTATGGTTTTATTTGCTGACTTTTAAGATCTTTTCTTAAAACTCTAAATAGTAGATTGAATAAAACTAGAGCCAAGATTACGATAGTTTTCAAAAATTTCTATGATTTAAAAAAGGAATCCTTTAGTTGGATTTATAGGTAACTTTTATAAGAACTCAGTTAAAAAGCAGAAGGAGGAAAAGAAGAAGTTAAAGAAGTTTAGATTGGGTGGATGTGAAGGGAAAAGAGTGGTTTTTTGTGAGTGCAATGATTTCGAGAGGGTCCACCGGGGTCCCAGGGCACTCCCTCCCTTCCCGTGTCGATCGACCGCTCTGGATCCCTGTGAGAGCATAGGGTGGCGAGGGTTCGACAGACACCTAGACACCCCTTTTCTCTTCACATCACCCTCCTCTCTGCCCCCTTCTCGTACCAGCTGATTTTCTCCTCTCTGCTCACCCTTTTTTCCTCCACATTCCCTCGAATTCCTCATCTACTTTCTTTCAATTTTATATCCATAATTGCTTTTTGTTAACTGTTAGACTTTAGTTATACTAAGTCCATTGATTTACGGCTAAAAACAGGTTCAAATCAAGATTGTGAGAAGAGGAAAAAGAAATTTCTGGCTGGCTGGCTGGTTGGCTTTTTGACGACTATTGATTGATGAACTTTCTTTTCTCTCTTTTGCGGAAAGATCAACAAAAGATTTCGATATCAATCGTTTTCTCTTTTTATGCAAATTCTTGATCTTTTAAAAACCAATTCCCTGATTTCACTCTTACCAATGACTGGGGAAATTTCTTTATCTCGATTAGATCAATGCTCGTTATCTGGTGGAATGAATTGTTTAATGTACTTTTAAATTTTCATTTATTTTTGAATCTATTTAAATTTTTAACCCATTTCCAGTTGAAAACTTCTTGTTAAACCAAAAAAAGACGATTTTCCTATGAAGAATGGATGGTATTGATCCGGAGACTCTTCTCGAATGGCTACAAACGGGTGCGGGTGATGAACGGGATTTACAAGTGAGGATTTATAGATAATATTATAAATATCTAGTACTAGATATCATAGCTTAACTTTATTTAGAATATTGAAAGCTTTGTGATTAGATCACTAACAATCCGTGCAAGTTACACAATGGGCACGTGAGAATCACATGACCATTTAAAAACCATAATATATGGACTTATGATATTGATAGATAAGATATAGCTTACTATTTTTAAAAGTAGTGTATATTGTTTGAAATATAACCAGATAACAAAAATTTGCACTAACAAGCAAACTTTATGTTATCTCACTCATATTTCATTCATCAAATTTAGTCTAGAATCTTGGTAAAAAAATAAATAAAGCATATTAGGTTAAAAAAGAAGAATTAAGTAGTTGATAAGCTTTCAGTAGCTGGTAAGCTACTGAAAGTTTATCCTAACCATAAAACATAAGTGCATATAATGGTTATATTCCCAAGTGGAAACCCAATAAATCAGGCTAACTTATTTTATAGTTTTCTAGAGCCTTATAAATTCTCTAACTTTTCCTTCTATTCTAAAATTCTATAAAATTTTAGTTGATGGCTTTGGAGCAATTATGTATGCTGTTGTTGATGTCGGATAATATCGATCGATGCTTCGAGAGTTGTCCACCGCGAACTTTCCTCCCGGCTTTGTGTAAAATTTTCCTCGACGAAACGGCACCCGACAACGTGCTTGAGGTTGGTGACGTTCGATTTTAAAATCTTCTAATACTATCGAGCTATTTATTCGCTTTTCAGGTGACGGCCCGAGCGATCACCTATTATTTGGATGTGTCAAATGAGTGCACGAGGAGGATTACACAGGTTGGTAGCTGTATTTTATATTATGTAGCTAGATATTCGGTTAGATCCAGATTTATACTTTCAAAAACGTAAACGCATCCTCTCTAGTGCTTTTTATAGCTCTTTATAGTTTTTAAAATTAAAAAAAGTCAAATTTTAAAAAACAATTTCTAGGTGGACGGAGCAATCAAAGCAATTTGCAATCGTTTGGCTGCTGCCGAAATGAATGACCGAAGCAGTAAAGATCTGGCGGAGCAATGCGTGAAACTTCTCGAGCACGTGTGTCAGAGAGAGACATTGGCCGTATATGATGCTGGCGGGATACACGCAATGCTGACACTTGTGCGACAAAATGGAAATCAAATCCACAAGGACACCATGTATTCGGCGATGTCTGTCGTGACACGCCTATGCGGGAAAATGGAGCCAAACGAGCCGGCACTGGTATGGGATAAACGATAATAGTATAATATATAATTTAGGCTCAATGCGCTGAGAGTCTTGGCGCCTTGCTGGCACACGAGGATGCAAAAGTGTCCGAGTCGGCGTTGAGATGTTTTGCCGCACTCACCGATCGTTTCATCCGGAAATCGATGGATCCCATTGAGTTGGCCAGGCACAGGTAAACAAAAGGATATATGGTAGCTATAATAAAATATCTAAATAAGATTGGTTCTACATTCTTAACTCAAACAATACTCAAGTTTCCCAGTACTAAAACTTTGCTCTTTCGATGAAGTTAAAACAGCGCCGAATAGAAAACGTTCAAAAACGCCGTCAAATTTCTCACAATCCAAAAAACTAAGCCGGTTCAATTTTTATATCAAAAGGTTCCTTGCGTTCTTGGCTACATGATGGGTGAAGCAGTTTTTTAAAAACTTAATATTCCATAGATAAAGTTAGCGAAATATTAACTTTTTAAAAAAACTGTTTCACCCATCATGTAGCCAAGAACGCAAGGAATCTTTTGATATAAAAATTGAGCCGGCTTAGTTTTTTGGATTGTGAGAAATTTGACGGCGTTTTGAACGTTTTCTATTCGGCGCTGTTTTAACTGCATTTCTTATATTCTTCAATTTTCAGCAATCTTGTCGATCATCTACTCGCTTCACTCTGTGCAACCGAGCCTCCATCAGCCGTTTTCACGAGCATCGTTTTGTCGATTCTCAGCAATCTCTGCCGAGGAAGTGCCGAGGTCACGCAACAAGTGTTGAGGTGAGAAATTAATTTTAAAATGTCATAAATTTCCCCGATTTAGCAATAATCTCTTGATCGCCGCCCTCTTCGCCGTGTTGACGGGAAAGAATGATCGTTGTGTGACTGATGGATTGAGATTAGCTGATCTTCTCGTTGTTCTTCTTTGCGAGGGAAGGAATTCGTTGCCGAAGAATTGCCCGGTACGGTAATCGTTATCATATAAAAATTCTAGATCTGTACAAGTTAGCTAAATTTGAAATTAGCTTTGGACAAGTTGGGTAAAAATTTTCAGCTTCAATGAATTAAATGAATGAAAAATATTCAGGTATCGGAAACGGGATTGGCCGGCTCGGGGACGGGAGAACGGGCAAGGCATCTCATCGATGCGATCCGCCAAAAAGACACTCAAGCGCTGGTGGAAGCGATCGAAAGTGGAACGGTGAGTGTTTAGCAGATAAATCAAATCAATATACAAACGTATTTTGACTCTTAGGATCTTAACTTTAAAAACTGACAGTCTAGGACGGGTACAGTTAAAATTGCACAATTTCAAAGTCGTTTTCAAAGCCATCATCTCAATCTTTCAGGTTGATGTGAACTACACAGACGACGTCGGTCAATCGTTGCTGAATTGGGCGGCCGCATTCGGCTCAATCGAGATGGTCTCCTTTTTGTGCGATCGAGGAGCCGATGTGAATAAAGGAAGCAAAAGCAGCTCGTTGCATTATGCAGCCTGTTTTGGACGACCCGATGTGGTGAAGATGTTATTGCAACGAGGAGCGAATCCGGATTTGAGAGATGAAGATGGGAAAACGGCGCTGGACAAGGTAAAAAGTACAGTTGATAGGATCGAGATCCCTTACAGTAGTTAGTATCTTGTTTCCCTACAGTAGCTGAACTAAAAGTATCCAGGGAATGAGGTAAGACTAAAAGCGAATGAGAATTTGAATGATATTCAGTCTTGCCAGCTTAAACATTTCCTAGTTATCCTGAATACTTTTCATCTTCAGCATACTGTAGTGGACTTACTATATTCTAAAGAGTTTGCACCGTTTCTGTTTCATCATTCAAATTCCAGGCTCGTGAACGAAGCGACGAAGATCACGCTCAAGTGGCGGCAATCCTTGAAAGTCCGTCAGTATACATGCATGCCCCGACAAAAAGTTTGTATTCTATAACTTGCTCTACAACAGCACAGAGATAATTCTAGAAGATACAAATTTTCAGAAGAGGACCCACCCGAGAGCGTGAGCGGCATTCAAACAATGGATGTGCCTGATCGGAATTTAGCCGCTCACGTCTTGCACAAACTTGTACCCGTCTTCTGTGAGATATTTCAGGTACTGGAATGGCTTTATTGCAGTACAATAAATAACTGGTAAATTAATATAATTGTTTTTTTTTCAGAAATCATTGAACAACAGCGTTCGTCGATCATCGCTTTCACTTCTCCGCAAAAGTGTCCAACACATGACAAGCGATGATCTCCGAGCAGCAGCCGAGCATTTAGCTTTTGGTGGGTGAAATGCTTTGTTAGGATGCTAAAAGCTAAGCTTTTAAAGTGTCATTTAGCTCAATATTTTTAATTTACGACTGATTTCAATGAAAATCTTTGCAGAATCGAAATCGGAAGATGCTCGCTCATTCTCAGATTCCCTCGTCGGCGTCCTCGTGAACGTTTTGGAGCAAGAGGAAGATGTTGATGGGCAAGAACAAGTGCTTTTGGTAGAAGAAAAATGAAATTTCTTTTATTGATGATTTAATTAGATAATGTCCTCTTTATTGCACAAGGACAGCGGCTTCTGGGTGGAGGAGTTGATCCGGCTTGGCGTCTTCGAGAAAGTCGAATCAATGGCAAAAGAGCCATCAGTCCCTACAATATCTTCTTGTTCGATGGCCAACCTATTGGAGATTCGTGATTCGATTGATGAGATGAATGCAAGGAATAATACGCTTAGCCGGTTTGTTTGTTGAGAATGAAAAAAAATCAGATTTTCACTGCCTAATCTTTCTCATGAACTCAACGAGCCAGTTTTTACAGATATAGCTTAAAATTACAGTATACTTGTAGAGTATTTAGGCGCCCAGACTGAATATCTTTATCTTAAGTAAACGGTACTGTAACCAGAGTCAAAATTACTGTAAGAGCTAATAGTTATCGTAAGGAAACTGTAGTTTGGCTCGGATTATAGTGAGACAGAATACTGTAAGTCTATAGTATCTTTAGGAAAAATTAGAAGTGATATGTGATATATAAATTCCTTTCAGTTCCACCTCTTCAACTCCATCAGTGGCTCTCGAATCAGACATCGAAAGAACAACTCCCGGAATCAGTGAAAGAGATCGCGGACAAATGCTCAACGTGCCAATATCGGTATTATTCATGACTATATTATTAGAGAAATATGGATAAACTATAGATATTATCTTAAACTAATAACTAATCTAGGTCGACGAAGACTTCTCCACAATGCAAACCCCACCGCCAACTGTTGAAGTGGTCGGCACACCCAGCGAGGCTATTGTCAGTCGAGAGGCTAAAGAGAAAGATTTTCCGAAACAAATTGAGGTATATATTGATATAAAGTGTAAACATTTATCTAAATTAAAATAGAGATAAAGATCTATTGTATAAATTTCAGATTGCCGTTTTGTACCGTTGGAAAGAGTGGCGCATTGTGCGTGACGCGGAAACGCTCTACATTTGGGCCGATCCGATCGCCCTGGAGTTTCCGTGAGCTTTAAAAAAAGCGAAATATTTATCCAAGATATAGAAATTGCCTTGAACTTTAGATTGAATAGTTTTTATTTCAAGTTTTTAGTCAGAACTCTAATGGCTGGATTCGCTATTTGTCGGACGGTCAACTGTGGATCATGTACAGTAATGGACATACGGAGATCTCATCGAGTGAAGTTGACGCGAAGAAATCATTTGTTACGAAGTGGGTTGCATGGGAATTAGTATATAAATTTAGATATACTACATATCTAAAGTATAGCTAGCTAGCAATAAGCCTAATAATCAGCTCTATTTTTTGCCGAAATCTTTGGCGAAGTCAGAGATGTCCCAGCCGGACTCTAGGACCTGTAGACCAGACCAGGTCAGGTCAGAAGCCGGGCATGAACCTGGCCCTTGTCTTTTGAATTATATTCTAAACCCATTCTTTCTATCTACTGATCCAATTCCAGATGGCGACGAGCAACGGCAGCTTGCGGCGACGCAATGCCCACATCGCTTCTTCAAATCCCGAATCCAACCCGGAAAGCCCTCGTGCCTAGCTGGGAGTTAATGTGTTTAAAAGGAAACGAGTTGAACGTTCGATGCAATATGGAACAAGAATCGAATCCGATCATTATCAAGGATGAAATTGCTGGGTAAGCTGGCTACGATTTTTGAGATCCTATACTTCTTTTAGGTTCACCTATGACTCAAACGAGAAAGTCTCCGTTTGTCCGCAAACCGTTCTCTCGCATGACTTCAGCACTGGTAAGCTAAGCAAAACCTAAGGGTATTTCAAATTTCAAGTCTACAGTAACATATTGGAAATTTGAAAGTTCATTCCCTAATTTCCAGGCTGGTCTCTCCATGGGGTCGGCGGTCGACGAGCTCGTTTCCGAATGGAAATGCAAAGGAAACGAGTACAGGAATTGGCATGGGAAGTTTGGGATAAATATCTGAAAGATGCAAAGACGAAACCACGAGATGCCCTGCTGCATCTACAAGAGGCTACATCTTGCATTCAGGTAAAGAAAACAGGGACGAATTGAATTAAAAGGCTAGAATCTAAAGGATCATACTGTAAAGGAGTTGGAGTTCCAAAATGAAATTGGAGTTGGCTGGGAGTGACACCAAGGCTCAGAAGCATCTATTCGTAAAGGATCGTACTGTAAAATCTTAGCAATATCAAGTAGTGTTTTTCACAAGATACCAAAATTCTGGACCCAGGCCTGACTTTGATACTGTAGAACAAAAAAACAATACAGTACCATTAAGAGCTCAATGGCAACCTATTACCGTAAATACTGTACCCCACCCCGATAATGACGGTGTGGAGTATTGTGTAGTCTAGCTTTGAACGCGTTTTTTCTCGACACTAGTTTATGCTACAATGCGCGCTTAGTTACCAAAAAAATAGCTGAAATTCAGGGCTATTTTTTGAAAGTACGGGCGCTTTGAAAAAAATGAAATATGAAAAAACTTTTGTGTTTATGCGACTATAATATTACAGTATTTACGGTAGCTGTTCTATGACATCTAACTCATTTCAAAATTTCCAGGAGTTCGTCAAGAGCACGCTGATGAAGAAGAAAAACATCGAGCATGTGCAAAATATGGTGCACGCGTTGAACTACGTGAAAGAGTGTATTTTGGACGATCGGCGGCTCTCGATTTTCGAATTGTCCGTGTCAGGCCTCGTACCAACGCTTGTTGGATTGTTGAACGCAATCGATCACAAGCCAAACTCTTTCCCGGCAATTATGTTCAAAGAGGCTTTCGGCTGTGGAAGTGCGCTGTCGGCGTTGGCGCGGAAAATGGTTTTGATTTTGGAATCCACCGAGAAATTCCCTCAATATCTCTACGATGCACCCGGCGGATCGGCGTTTGGATTACAGTTGTTGAGTCGCAGATTTAGACTGAAATTGGAGTTGGCTGGGAGTGATACCGAGGCTCAGAAACATCTATTGAATAGGTGAGTCAAGAAAAATTGGTTTTATAGATTTCATTTCACTTACCAATAAGTGGAAAAATCTTTTTTTCAGAACGAATCGTTTCTTCAAAAGCGAACCACTGACCACAATTGGGCAACTCAAGAATTTCTTGCTGAAAATGGTTGCAAAACAATGGTAAGATTTCAAAATTTCAAAGTTTCATAAGTCCTTTCTCAGGTACGATCGCGAAAGGGAAACATTTAATTTCGTGAAACAAATCCAAAAGGAAAAAGAGCTTTCGTTCACGTACACAAGCGATTTTGATGATCAGGGGATTGTCTATTGGTTGGGAACGAATGGGAGAACGAACTCGGAATGGAACAATCCTGCATCGATTTCCATTGTTAAGGTTGGGAAAACTTTTCGAGGGTTTTAAATTAATTTCCTTTTCAAGGTTTCATGCTCCGACGCGCCAAGACAACCATTCGGTCGACCTGAAGACATTTTGAGTCGAGAAATTCAGCCACTCAATTGCCATTCGAGTGATGATAAGTAAGCCGAACTATTCATCAATTAGGAGACAACGAAATTTTGCATTTACATAACAAGCAGCAATGTGGCACTGGTGCCAAGTATACATGGACCTTTTGTAGAAAATGAGTCAGTCCCACGTTTTAGCAAACAGCTCTTGTTTTCTAAAGCTCGAAATAGCATTGAATCCACGCTTTAGAAAACAAGAACTGCTTACTAAAACGGGGAACTGTCTCGTTTTCTACAAAAAGGCCATGTCTATTGCTAAGTGATTCAGTTTACCGTATACAAGATCTACGTGGTCTACTCTAAATCTTATATACGATAATAGGCATACAAGATCACAAAACCAAACTTTAGATTAGCTTTAGAAGATAATTTTTTTACTAACACTAAGACAACATTTGATTATAAGATCACATTTGTAATTCAGAAATGGAAACTTCACCGTGGATCTCGGTTGCCTCGTCGCCCCAACCGCTTACACCCTTCGCCACGCACGCGGATATGGAAGAAGCGCTTTGAGAAATTGGCTTTTCCAGGTATAAAATTTATATAACTATCCGATTACATTAAAAATCATTCAGGGTTCTCGTGACAATCACGTGTGGGAACTTCTCGTCGCTCACTCTGACGACACATCCCTTGGCGACCCGGGATCAACAGCTACTTGGCCTATCGAGCCGGGAAAGGGTTTGTTTTGAGAAATATTTTAAAAGGTTTTATTTTATATGTTTTATATGTTTGATTAAATCCAAATTTCCAGGTCCCTACCGATATTTCCGAGTCTCACAAAATGGAAAGAACTCCTCCGGGCAAACCTACTACCTCTCGCTGTCTGGATTCGAAATCTATGGAAAAGTCACCGATGTTATCGTAGAAGGATTTAAAGTTGAAGAAAAGGTGGTTAAGATTTATTATTTTATTATATTTATTATAAATTCTAAACTTATAATATCAATTTCAGGAAAAGAAAACTCCTCCATCGAAAGTGCCCGCAAAAATGACGCCGGCTAGGGGATCGAAGAAAGGCGATGAGGTAATTTTGAGGATGAAAAGTCTAAATTCAAATTAAAACCTGCTTATTCAATGCCTAAATAATGCACTTTTCAATCTTTTACCTAAAAATTTCTAGCCGAAATCCCCGGGAACCACGTCGGAAGCTTTGGAGATGCTCCCGCAAGGAGCGAACAATAATCGAATCAAATTCGGAATTACAATCGATCAGATTTTGCGATCGATGAAAAGCGGAACGTGAGTCGATTGCTTGCCTACACTTTTGGTATAGCCATTTACAAACTGACAGCTTCAGCTAAGCGAAAACTATTCGCTAACGAATATCGTTTAAAATTTTCAACTTAATGAGATGGCTGAGACTTGTGAGTACTCTTGAAATCAAATCAATCTGAGAAACCCGAAAGACCAACTATTTTAGTATGCGCACAAAGCACTCGGCTCGTCTTCTCCGAAACATGCCCGGTGACACGAGTGAATTGGTGGGAATGGTGGTGAGGAGAGGACCCGATTGGCAATGGGATGAACAAGATGGAAGAATGAATGGCCGAGTGATCACGTACACAAAACCTGGTATGTAAAAAGGGTTGCCGTTTCTTATTTGCGACCTTTTTGCGGGGAAATTTTGGGTTGGCGCTTTAAATCGTGGTAAAGCTACGCTACCCCTCTTAAGTTGCAGGTATAAATGGATTCTTTTTGTGCAATTTCGCGCAATTTTATTCTTTTTTTTGGCGTATTTCTGCACTCAAGCGTCCTCACACTGCCGTCTGATTCTGTCTTTCAGTAATTATTCTGAAGCAACCATCATTTTTTAACTGAACTGAATCAGCAACCTCTCAGTATGTAAGAAAAGCTGTTTCTGCATTTTCTGCAAGGAATTCTCCAAGTTTCATTTTTTTGCTTCATAAAACCATCTTCCAGTGTCGAGTTCGAAGAATTTTCAGGCAAAAAATAAAGATATAGATGTTAGTTTGTGAAACTACTTTTGTAAGACGATTAAAATTGCGCTCCCATGTGTGGATAATGTGCCATTTGCAAAGAAGTTTCTCCGTTTTGAATGTACCGATTCCTTCTGCAAACGGTTTCACAAAGTTGTGCCATCATCACTCATAAAGAATGCGACGAAAATTACATCAGAAATACGCAAAAAGAATGAAATGAAATGAAGAGCAAGAATGAAAGAATGAAATTACGCGCTTCCTTTTATACCTGCAAATTATGGCAGGATACGGTAGTTTCCACGCTTTAAAGCCCCAACCCAGAATTTTCTCGCAAAAAGGTCGCAAGTCCGTTACTTTCAAGCTGGCATATTTGGACCTGAAATTTGTCTTTCTCTTCAGGAATGATGGCCAAACAGATGCCCGGATGGATTGACGTGACTTGGGATAATGGATACACGAATAGTTATCGATACGGATACGAGGGGAGATTCGATCTGCAGAGAGTGGCTCGAACGACAGCTTCCGATTTGCTGCAAGTGGTACGTTTTTGAAGAAATTTCATTTAAACTCAATCAGTTTTCTTTTTCTGTATAGTAAATGCATTCATTTATTCACGCGAATAATGTGATTCAAACAATACACAAGCATAATCCCTAAGCCCTAAATGTAGGGAAAAACCCATATATATGAAAAAAAAGCCAAAAATCTAGCCGACGGGATTGAACCCTTGACCTGCTGACTAAGAAACAGGGCTCTTAGCCGTAATTTCGGTCATGATGTAATGATGCTTTGTGTGTAAAATAGAGATTTCTAGATGCGTTCCCATCAAATCCTTCAACCCCGCCGCGGTGCGCCCGACACATCGATCACTTCCGGAAACTTGATGACCCCACCAAGCCGTGAACAACCATTCCATTCCGGCTTTGCACCATTCGGACTTCGATCGATGAAACCAACCGCTGGTAAATGATGAAGTTCAAAAAGATTTTTTACACTTCCAAATCTCTAGGCAAAACTCGAATGCGCACCTCTGGACGCCCAAATGCTCAACTCGGCTCTTCAGCGACTCAATCAAACACATCATCTTCTATTGGAAAGAAATCCATGTCAACAACTGATCTCGTTGATGAAAGAGCACGTGAAAGTGGGACAAGCAGTGCGGTTACTGTGGCCGCCACTGGACAAGCCGCTTCCGCTGAAAGCCTTCAACATCAAACGCCTAGCTTGGAGAATCTACTTAGAGGGTAATTTTTTTAAAGATATTTAGCTTTTTACTTAATTATATTTTAATGGAAACATTTCAGCTCACGAATTTACCAAATTGCTGAAAGAAATGAGACGCTTGAGGGAAGAGAGACGCCAATAACAGGACAGGATGAGAGGCCCGGCTCCTCTCAACCATTGCTCTCCGGATCGTCGACGAAACAAAATGAAATGGACACCTCAAGCTCAACTCAGGTATGAGGTTTACATTCATTTGTGAAGTCAGTTAGTTTGAGGACAGATTTATGTCGAATTTTCAGGGAGGCAGTGGAAATCTTTCCCTCTCGACACCCGAGTTGGCTGCGGTGATTCAAAGGAATTCGTCGGAGGGCTCCGAGTTGACGAAAGCTTTGGAAGAAGACGAAGATGATGATGAAAATGATGATGAGAATGAGGATGGAGAACCGGATGATGATGAAGATGATGACGACGATGATACGGATAATGATGACAGGTTTGGAAGGGATTCGAAAACAACCAAAATATCAGGTTGACCGGAAAGTCTTGTCCGCTTTTTTAAAGGTTACTCTTTGAAATGAATAATGAACCAACCAATCTATGATTTGTTTGATCAGAAATTCCTATTATTTATTTACAAATTACCCTTTAAGAAATTCTGAAAAGCTTGCATTAGTTCATTTTTTTTAGAAGGTGTAAAGTCGAGCAGTTAAAAATGATGAAACTCAAAGTTCCGATTTGAGCACCTTTTCACAGAGACCTATTTTGGTGTCAAAAGACAAAAGATAGAGAATAAAAAGTTAGGCAGATAGACAAATTTTCATAACATTTCACCAAGCCGTTTTCATTCTATGTCCATTGTAAGGATTTTAGGAAAAACAAGAATTCCCGCTCGGATTTGCTTCAAAGCGGACTTGAATTTGCTTAAAAATTAACTAAATGAAATGGTTAATCTTTTTATTTAAATCGAACCACACGTAAACTACTCATTTATAAACGAAAATTTCAAAAAGGCGGATAAGACTTTCCGGCCAAACCAATATTAGAGCGCCCAATTTTCTAACTTCAACCTTTATTCAAACACAAAAGTGTAAAGTTCTCATTCTGACCAATATATCGAAAGCTTTTCAGAAACGAGAAGAAAGAGGGCAGTTTGACGGATCTATTGGTCGACTTGGATGGTGGAAGTGGTCCATCGGGAAGCTCCTCAAAAGCCACCATTGCCTCAAATCCTCAATCTTCTTCGGCTGAAAGGGGAATCTTTGAGCGAATTCGAGAAGTCATCGGAATCGGTGAATTGGTTGATTGAGTTCATGAGTGATTGGTTTTGTTTTTCAGAAGATTCACTCGAACAACTTTTGAGTGCCGCAGCAACGGGAGTTGATGGAGTGCCAACGAATAAAAAGGCGGTGAGGAAATCGAGTGGATCGCTGAAAGCGAAAATTGGAACCTACGCCGACGTGCTGAGATCGGTGATGTATCAGGTAGAATACTTACAAGAGTTTACAAGTGAAAAGCCAACTCGCAAAACCAAAACTTACCTTCTCAACTTCAAATTTCAGATGATGGATACCTCATCTGGTGACATTGACGAGATGGACGAGGAAATTTTTGAAGATGAAACGGACGCGAATGAAGACGAATTGATCGAAGACCATGATCTAGGACTCACAGCCGGCATTCTACCAAGAGGATTGATCGGAAGAATTGGAAATGATGGAGGGATCCGATTGAATTGGCGGCAAATGTCCCAATTGTTGATGAATGAACCACATCGTTTACAAGAGGGAACAAGCAAAGGTCGACTGACGCAGTCGAATCTCCGACAATGGGACGACGAATTTGTGCTCAAATGTCAATTCCAGGTATGGGAATTTGGAAGAAATTTTGCTTCTTGAAGTCGTGTTAAAAGTTTCGTTTAGTGATTTCTATGATCAATGTACTTTCAGGCACTGATCCCGGCTTTTGACCCGAGACCCGGTCGTTCAAATGTCAATCAGACACAAGATGTCGAACTGCCCGCGAATCTCACCGAGTTCCCAGCTACTCCTAATCCACTTGTCATGGTTTGTGATATTTTCTAACTTGTTCTAACTAGAGAAAGGCACCAGGTCAATGTGGCCTTTTAATACGAGAACCACGGGGCTTTATAGGATCGGCTATGCTAATTCTGAATATGCTTTTACTTTCTCCAAAAGAGCTCTCTAACGCGAGATATCTGGCATCAAAGTTTAGGGCGATTTTCGAAGTCCTTATAAGCTTTTTCGCTCATTCTGAAATATAGAACTAGTGGCGCAGTGAATAGTGTGCTCGCCTCCGGAATTTTTTGCCCGGCATCGATTTCGCTCCCGGTATACTCTTTTTACTTTTTTTTGAGAAAATGGTTAGAAAATTTGATTGAATTCCACTATTTTGCGGAATTCGATTCAATTCCATTTTGCGTATTGAATTCCACTATTTTTGCATAAGCAGTCCGTGAAATCGTGAATAATGTTCACATGTTCCTAGAACATTTCTAAACGTTCTTCCTTTGGGGCGCGTTTTAGAAAGCGATTAGAGCGAAGAAACACAGTTACAACTATTTTGCTTAAGATTAAAACAGAATCAAGCTCAAGGAACAATTAAAGCTCCTTACAATAGCCAATATTTCAGAACAACGACATCAAACTCCGACTCTTCCTGCGTGGACCGAATCTTCCCGGAATCGAGAACAAAACGATCGAGTTGTGTAAAGATGAGCAATCGCTTTTCAAATGCATTCAAACACTCACCAACAACATCGAATGGCAACAGGTTTTGTTTGATTTTTAGAATTTTATCAATAATTTTTAGAAAGGAGACAAAAACCGGCGAATTTTTGACCCGACTTACACGATTCTTTACGAGGATGCATCGACTGCACCCAGTGTCGACACGTCGAATATCCCGACTGAAGAGAGCAAAGTGCCCGAGGTTGTCAATCAGGTACATTTGATCATTTTACAAACAGAACTTACTATTAGTCTTTAATCAAGTTTAAGTTCAATTATATTGTATTACTGTATTACTTTCAGACATTGGATGTGCTCAATCTGCTCGCGAAAATCGCAACAACTCTCCCCGAGTCCGAGCTTCCGTCGAACATCTTTGTATCGGAGAAGCTCACACAAAAGCTCATTCAAGAGTTGTCCGATCCTTTGGTTGTCTCATCTCGTTCGATGCCTGAATGGTGTGAGCGCTTGATTTACGCATATCCGTGTCTTTTCACGATGGATACAAGGTGAGGAGAAAGATGAGAGCGTGGAGGTAGAATACATTGAATAGGCAAGATTATGGATTACTCTATAAGTTGTATACTAATGGCAAAATCTCTTTCAGGAACATGTACATGCAAGCAACGGCTTTCGGCGTATCTCGGTCGATCGTTTGGCTTCAATCGAGAAGAGACGCGGCGTTGGAGAAAACGAGAGGCGCCTCGAGCAATGCAACCGTTGGATCAGCAACAGTTCGACGAGAAGATGCGTATGAATATCGAGTGGGACGGTTGAAACACGAGAGAATGAAGGTAAATAGATTAATACAGCTAAACAAATCAATAGTACACCTAATAGATTGTACAAGTCAAGTACAGCTGAACACAAATGAGAGAATTTCAGGTGACTCGATCGGAAGACGCCCTTTTGGAGCAAGCGATCCGTGTCTTCCGCTTCCACTCGTTCAACAAAGCCGTCTTGGAGATTGAATATAATGGGGAAGAAGGAACTGGCCTGGGTCCAACTCTTGAATTCTATGCCCTCGTATCAGCCGAAATGCAAAGGAAAGCACTGGCCATTTGGTGGTGCGATGATCTAGATGAAACACAGTTGAAGCTAGAGGTGGGATTGGGCAAAGGGTTCTTTTGAGCCCAAATTTTTCAAATAGAATCTAATAATATTATTTCAGGAAAAGGAACTCGATTTGGGCGAGGGAAAGAAACCGCCGGGGTACTATGTGCGTCGAGCGGGCGGACTCTTCCCTGCCCCTCTTCCACCGAACACCGAACAACGGCGACGAGCCAGCGAACTCTTCCACGTGCTTGGGATCTTCCTTGCTAAGGTACATTGAGAAATATTATCTATGACTTAATGAAATTAGTTTCAATATCCAATAAAATTATGAAACTTTTATCACCCAGACTTCCAGTCTTACGCTATGTATCCCAATCCTTATCTTTTGAATATGATACTTAGCAAAATCAATTCATAACCAGACTTTGCTGGAATATCAATGATTTATGTTGCTGTTTATTATTGGCTACTTGTTCTTATCAAAACCAATCCATCGTCCAGGTTCTACAAGATGGCCGCCTCGTCGACATCCCCCTCTCCCAGCCGTTCCTCAAGCTGGCCATTCATCCAAAAGTCAATAATCACACCTCATTGAACGATCTTGATGGAGTGCTGAATTTGGATGATTTCGAAGAAGTTCATCCAGTTAAAGGTTTGAATTTATGCTGTAAATTTCTATAATAATTTTCAGGTCGTTTCTTGAAAGAACTATCCTCGTTGGCAGCTCGGAAGAGAACGATTGAATGCGATGAAAATATGGACAATATTGCAAAAAGGAGACGAATCGATGAGCTAACATTGAACTTCAACGGAACACGATGCAAGGTTAGAATGGAAAGCTAATTTTTGCAATTTACCGAATCAATGGAATAGCAGCAAGTTCTTTTAAGCTACCCAAAGCTTTTACCTACTCCAATAAACTTGTTTAGATCGAAGATTTGGCTCTAAACTTCACCGTCAATCCCCCGTCAACCGTTTTCCAATATAAAGAAATGGAGTTACTGGAGGGCGGATCAGATATGGATGTAACGATGGACAATGTCGAGCTCTATGTCGAGAAATGCACCGACTATTATTTGAACTCGGGAATCATTGAACAGGTAGCATTTTTGAGACTTTACTTGAGTAATAAGTTTTTGTACTTTATAAGAAATGAGCATAAAAACTGTCTATGCTAAGAAAGATAAAAGTTAGCTTGAAATCCGTAGAGAATGGTGTAATTTACTTTTTCTAGGTTCGTGCATTCCGTGAGGGTTTCGACAAGGTTTTCCCGTTGCATTCACTTCGATCATTCACTTCTCAAGAAGTACAATGTTTGATCTCGGGAGAGCAATGCCCTGAATGGACAAGAGAGGATCTTATCAATTACACTGAGCCAAAACTCGGCTACACTAGGGAGTCACCGGGTTTCCTCAGATTCGTCGATGTGATGGTTGAGCTGACGGCACCGGAAAGGAAAAGTTTCCTCCAATTCGCGACTGGATGCAGCAGTCTGCCGCCAGGTGAGAATAGAGCAAGGTTGAAAGATGGTTATTGAATAATGTTATGAAGAGTTTTTTAATTAAATTCTCGAAAGAGCTTTCAATCTTAACCTAATATAAGGATAGTTAGAGAACCATTCTAAAAGGAATTTTAGGTGGCTTGGCCAACCTTCATCCCCGCTTGACGATCGTTCGAAAAGTTGAGAGTGGTGATGGAAGTTATCCCTCGGTTAACACGTGTGTTCATTATCTGAAACTTCCCGAGTACTCGAGCTCCGAGATTTTAAGGTTTGTTAGGGAAGTCAGAAATTTTATACGTTTAATTGTTCTGATGACCATATTTTAGAGAACGTCTCCTCACAGCGATCAACGAAAAGGGTTTCCATCTGAACTGAATATCTTTTACCTATATCAAATATCTTTTCTCATTGCAATCAGTGCTCCTCTTTCATTTGCATATTTCATAAATGTCACCAAATCACATGACATGCAAAGAAAATTCATCCTCTTTACGGGTTTTCCCAAATCGTGGTCCTCCTTCTTCCTGATTGGCTTTTTTTGTGTGCCAAATCCTTTCTATTCTAATCTGGTGTTACATCAGAAGTCATAAGTGTGTTTTGTTATTTTGTGATTTATTTCATCTCTAGCTAAACAAGTTGTATAATTATTTTTCGTAGGTATAGGAATTCGCCGGTTCTTTTACGAATAAAATACTTCAGACAGATTCGTTCTAGAAATACATTTACGAATGTAAAAATTATGTTAAAGAATTACTGGATAAGTTCAAAAGGATCAAGATATCAAATAGAATTTACACTGACACTTTGAGCGTTCGTCTGGCTATGAGTTTGATCTTGGGTAGTTGAGCTAATATTACAAGGTAATTATTTACTTGATATGTTGTATCAAACATTTATTACTATACACGTTTGGGTCAATTAACACACGGTATTTTGGGCGTAAAGTCGCGTAGTCGTTACTGTTTTACTGATATTTTGGTGAACATTCAAAGATAAACTAAACTATTGAGTTGGTGAATTGAAAACTGCCGGCTATTGTCATATGTGACAGTTTGAGCACTTTCTTCAAAAGAAACCCATTTTGGTGTCAATGGAAAAGTTGTAGAGAATCAAAAATCAAGCTTATATCCAAATTTTCAGAACAATTCAAAAGCTGGTTTTAAAGAAATACCAAATTTACGAATTTTCACAAAACTTGCATTTTAAGCGAAACTACTAAGTGTATCTTTTTGGAAATTTGGCTATAAGCCTAATTTTTGATTCTCTACAACTTTTCTATTGACACCAAAATGGGTTTCTTTTGAAGAAAGTGCTCAAACTGGGCTGACGGCTGACATCTCCAGTCCTCCATTTTTGAGTCTCACACTTGTCTCACACACAAACCAAAATCCTACTACGAAAGAGGAATCCGCAAATTGCCTGTGAAATGGGCAGAAGTCGTCAATAATAATGGAAATTATTTGGAATAAATTGATGGTTTTATGTTGAATAAATTTTAGTTCAAAGTCTGGCAGTTTTCAACTCACCAACCCAATATTATAATCATTGAATAGCTCAGAATCTCCTCTTGAAAACTAGTACCAAATTACCGAGAACTTTCGGCAAAGTAAATAAAAAATCCTTAAAAACTTGAGTTAATACCAGAAATAATCGTTATTAGTACGAAAACAAAGGGCTGAATACTTTTAAAAAGTGATAAGTTACAGTATCTGCTTTCTATTTTGCACCATTAACCAACTCGGCATCGATTCCACTCTTTTCATTTTTGCCTTTTTCTAACAAAAATTAACAAAGTTTCAAAAATAATAATTTAAAAAAACCGTTACCGTTTAACGTTTATGAGCATTTTTGGTAGGATTTTGGTGGTAGGATTTTGGTTTGTGTGTGAGACAAGTTCACACTTGTGACACTCAAAAATGGAGGACTGGAGATGTCCCAGTTTGAGCAATTTCTTCAGAAGAAACCCATTTTTTGGTTAAAATATAGCATATAAACTTCAAAAAATTCGATCAAAGATCTTAAGTAGGGCTGCGTCAAAATCTCTTTTTTTTATTTTAATCCCCGATTTAGAAGCAGAACTCAAATTTTTGTGATAAGAGATATCCTGTTTCACTTCCAAAATTCCCCTTTTTACTTTGAAATTCCTCTTTAAAATATGGGTCTTTTAAGCACGTTTTTCATTTTATTTGAAGTCAGTTCACTGATATTTTGCGATGAGTTGATGCAAGTGAATCTGGTGGGGATTTTGATTGATTCACTGGGAACTGTGAGCACCCCAGATGTACTTTATGCTCTCATAAACGCGCGCTCTTTGGCACACTTGGCTCGTTTCAAAATGTTAAGCATTGAGTGTGCCAGAGAGCGTGCGTTTGTCTAGAGCTCAAAGAACCGATCGGATTACATTATAGCTATTATCTAGTTGTATCGTCACGGTGATCGAACTCCAATCTACACATATAAAGATGATCCAAACGTCAACAAATGGGATCTCCCAGCTGGAGCTCTCACTACGGTATTAGAGTCAAAAACTACGGTATTAGAGTCAAAAACGAACACCTAAAAGTTAGCTTTTACTCAGCAAGGCATAAAGCCCTACCCTGGCGATGGGATGCATGTCGGTATAGCTCACTGGTAGAGCGTTCACCCGGTCGGCGTGTGTCTGCGGGTTCGAATCCCGGCGCCGACCATGTTTTGTATTCCCAGCCTCAACCCACAAAAGGACCGGCATGTCCAACTACTCAAATATCATGCAAATTTAGATGTGAATAGTGATCATTTGTTGTGCAAACGCACTCTTTCTGGTACACCATTTGGGCAGAGTATATCCTAGTCGTTTAGATTGGGATGGAACAGCAATTCTTGCAAGGACAACGGCTGAAAAAGCGTTACGTTGGTCAACTCAATTTCATCAATGGATCCTATAATCCGAGAGAAGTGAGATCCTCTGGACAACTCTTTGAATGAAGGCCCAAATTTTCAGCTATACGCTCGATCAGCGGACACATCCCGGTGCATTCAATCGGCCGGCGCGAATCTCGCCGCTCTCTACAGTGGATCCGTTGTACACCCAAATACACCGGTTTTATTCGAATTTTTTTTAGAAAATAAAGTTTTCTAGGGATGGCCATCGAATTGGATGCCTTACCCGATTCACACATATCCGTCGGATAGTGATACGGTAAGTTTACTAGTACTTTTGTACTCAAAAAATGGAAACACACCTTTTCTAGTGCATTAAATTCCGCCTTTTTTTCAGGGTATCACAAACCTAATTGCTGTGAAAATGACAAATGAAAACGAGAAATTGAGTGCACTAGGAAAAGTGTGTTTGCATGTTTGAGCTGAAGTACACCAAGACCAAGGCTTGGATCTTTAACAAATCCAATATCTCAAACAGCATCATTCTATTTTTGATGAGACAGTATTGTATTGAAGTGTAAACATGCTCAAACTGGCACACTTACAATCCGTTTCAGGATTGGTTTCTATTTTTTGTTTTTCAGCTCTGCGAAGAGGGTTCGAGTTCTTGCCAGCGAATCGGTCTCCTTGAATCGCGTCGACAAAGAGAGACTCCATATGTGCAATATTTGATCAAAAATCAGGTAAAATTTCGTTTTTTTATCAAGAAAATCAAATTATTTAAGGATTTTCTGAACCAATTGACCCAATGGTCGGGCGGGACAGTCAACGATGCGGGGAGTATCAATCGATTGTGGGATACATTGTATTGTCAGGTTAAATTTATTAAATTTAAGATTGCACACTTTCTAAAATGTGTCAACTTTCGTAAACTCTTTCTAGTCTGACTCAATCTATAATATTTGGTTTCTATAATATTTATAATATCCAATATCGAATGCCGCAAGGGTTCACAAAGGATAAAAAAAATCGCGAAGGCTATAAATTAGATAAAATAGATAAAACGGCAAGATTGTGATAGCGAACGGCGAGATTACGATAAAGTTGACATGTTTTAGAAAAGCATAGCTAAAAATACAACGCGAAATTGAAATTAATATGGCTTTGTCTTTTCAGAGAGCTCACAACATGACGATGCCGAGTTGGGCGACGAATGACGTGTGGAATCAGTTAAATGAAATGTTTATTTACACGGATGATTACAAAGATGGACTTGGTTTGTGTATTGAAAATGAAATATTTGTATCTGTAGATAAATGAAAACGTTTACAAAAACTTTCAAGCTGTGCAACAAATTGGCCCAAATGACAACAAAGAGTTGTTGTCGTTGAGAAGCGGAGAGCTTCTAAAGCAATTCATCTCGAGTATGAGCGACGTGGTGAGCAACAATGGATACTGGAAATTTCATGTTTATTCAGCGGTTGAAATTAAAGTCTTTATCAAGATATCTGGATTTTAGCACGACTCAACAATCAAAGCTCTCATGAGAATCTATCACAATGTGAAATCGGTTCTAGGTGAGTTTGAAAGTTGATGATTCGAATTCGTTAAAGAGTTAAAACGTTTTAATATTCTCTCATTACAGTAAGAATATTTAGGTAATTGACTGAATATCAAACAAAACTGAAATCTCCTTTGCGCCAAATTTTTTTTTTGCGCAACTCGCCATAACTTTCTTTCTAAATCGGCCAATCTTTATGATTTTTGGTATCATTTTATTGCACTTGTTGAGATCTATAAAATGACATCAGAATCATAAAGATTGATCCATTTAGAAAGAAGTTATGGCAAGTTGCACGCAAAATTTGGCGCAAATTACCCACCCAAATCTTTTCAAACAAATCTTATATCGGTCTATTCCAGCATACTGCACTGGGAACTGCACTTTAAAATTAAACTTTATTATTTAATTTTACCTTCAAAGATATTAGTTTAAAGGCATTAGCGTTTTGCAAGGTCAAAATCAACCATTTCTTTTTGTAGGCACGAATAACCCGGGTTACGCTTCTCATTTGGTGCATGAGCTGTGGAAAGACACGAAAGGAAACTATTATATTCAGGTGAGAAATTTCGAATTTTAAGACAAAACTAAGGGTTTTCTTTGGACATTCACAGTAAACCCTAGTCATTAGTATCAGCTTTTATTTCCTTCTTTCTTTCTTCTTTCTCTTGACAAGTTAAGGTATCGGATAGCTCAGTGGTTAGAGGAATTGCCCGGAAAGCAAAAGGTTTTACTTTCCAGAAATCTACTTTTTCTTGTGAACTTCTTTATTGCTGCTGCTGCTTTCCAAGAAATTCTATGCTTTAAATGCATGAATTCAGGTGTTATTCTCCGATAACGCCTACACAGAGTATCGTCAAATCACCTCAACCCTTGATGGTTGTTCGAGTTTCCCAAATGGATGTCCATTCAACAATTTCACGACATATTATTCCAGCTATATACAGGCTGATTTTTGGAAGGTATGTCACAAAAATTTGATACTAATCATATAAAAAATCTTTTAGCAATGTGCTCTGACAAGCTAACTTCTTGATCAATTGAGTGATTGGATAAAGCTTTCTATATAATGATTTCTTTTATCGACAAAGCCATTTTTACACCATTTTCTTGCATACAAGCAAAGCGTTTGCGTATAACAGACAGTAAATATTAAGAATTATCCTTAAAAAAAGAATCTAATTTATAGCCTTTCAATAAAGATATTCAGCTTTTGTATGTTTTTTCATCATACAAAATAAGATTCCAAAGGAAATAGAGAAAAATCGTTAGGAAATAGGCGGGCAGGAGAAGCGACCGGCCGAGGATATCCCATCTGAAATTGAAGTTGAAAAGTTAAGACAAAGTTAATGATTTTAATAAATGAATTCTTAAGGTCTTAAGGCTTTCCTTACCTAGCCGAATATAGAGAGAATTTGTCAGCGTTTGAGCGAAACGCGTTGAATATCACTCGATCGTAGGAAGCGGTCAGAGGCTCCTGGAAGTTCGGTTTTACCAAAATACTATATCAACTATAGTTTTGATATATTTTTGATAATAATATTTTTGATAGTATTCTTTTCCTTTACCTGCTCATGCGCTGATCCATTCTTTTCCCCATTCCCATTTCCGATGAGTTTCATTTGAGCCACTTTAGTGCCAGCTCGTCTCTCGTAACGTCTAGAGATTTCTCGTTTTTAAGCAAAATTGTTAGGGAGTTTAAACCTTAAACAATAAAGTATTCAATCTGCAACTTTTCGATTTATTTCACAATATTTTCTCTATAAAAACCTGCGACTTTCTTCCCGAGTCCAATCACTTTTCCTTGCCAACTCTAGATACTTGTTGTGAGAATTTTGAAGAAAAATCATCACCGCAAACTAAAATCTAGATCTGATTTCAATACTTCCATACTTCTGTATCTTTGTAAATTTTAGATACTTACATGTAACAGCCCGAAAATCAAAAATATTATGTGAACAAGATTCCAGAGATCGGCCAAAGTGATCGAGTCAGATGATGGGGAATTGTAGTTCAGAGATAAACACTGAATGGATTTTTGAAGAAAGGAAACGAAAGAAAATCATACCAAGATTGAGACTAAGAATGCGGCTGAAGAGATGATGAAGAAACGGAGAGTGGGATTTGATCGGATCACGAAGAATGAGATCCAGAGGAGAAATGGAATGAGGAGAGATGGGATGACAAAACGGACGATGAATTGACGCATCGGACGACGAGCGATGAAACGAGCCTCGAGACAGGAATGACGAGCTGGGGAAATGAGTTGAAAGGGATTCAAATTGACAAGTTCAAGTCAAATCATCGCACTGTTCTCTCAGTTTAACCAACAAACACCCTCAGTCAAAGTCAAATCAAAAAACACTGTCAAGACATTCTTGTCCGAAATCCGGGGTTTTGAATGCCTAGTCAAACTTTGCTGCAGTCATACTTCATAACTTTACTTAGAAATAATATTATTGTTAACTTTTAAAATAGTTTAAAGAGGAGACTTTAGGCTTTCAAATAATATAAATAAGACTTAGGGGGGGAAAAGGCCTGATTAGGGCCTAAGTCTTAAGAAAATCTTAAGACAGTCTCAAAGTCACTGTATAAAAAATCACTGTATAAAAATCTAAGATGTTCTTTGTGTGCGCGCATTTGTCAAACCCCTCGGTATAAAGTGCTTTTCTTACCAGTTTTCGAGCCTCCACTTGTAATCGAGTAGACCGAATCATATGAGCAAGAGACGGGAGTCAAATCTGTAAGTTTTTGCTTAAAATTTAGATATTTACTTGATTTATTTCGTTTTTCTTTTAGATTTAGATAATTTCGATAGATAAATATTAGTTTCAATTGTTATTTAGGCATCTATACACCTTGAATTTCAGCTCCAGATGGAGTGAGAAGTCGATTGGAAACGATTCGAATTGGGGAACTTGTTTTCGACCATTGAAGAGTGAGCTGAGCTGCTGTGTGACGAGCTGAAAGGGAAAGCTTCATTCAACTTTCGAATAATAGATCTCTCTCTCTAGATTGCAGAATAGAAAACACTGTTTTTTTAAACTTTTCAGCTACAATATTATAGTCACAAAAAGACGAACGAGAGACGACTCTGATCGAGCAAGTGTGCTTCTCAAATGGATATCTCCACGTTGAGAAGCGACAATTTGATGTGAGACGAACTCTGAAATTTATAGAGAATTTATAATATTCTGAAATTACAATAGCTTTTATATGATTACGGTAACTATTGAAAGTTAGTAACTTAGAAAACGAATCAACGATTCCAATATAGTTACTTTATAGTTCCTATTTAGCTCCTATTCAGTTCCTATTTAGTTCCTATTTGGTTACTGTATAGTTCCTATTTAGTTCTTATTTAGTTCCTATTTAGTTCCAATATAGTTACATTATGGTTCCTATTTAGTTCCATTTAGTTCTTATATAGTTACCGTTGATCGTTGATCGTTACTTTAAAAACAGACCGTTGCTTTGACGTGACAACATCGCCCCCAGCTCGAACAACCCATCGCATCTCACCAAGGACCTAATTTTTAAAAACTTCTAACTGATTTAGCAGATAAATTGTACCTGTATTTTGTGTGAATCAAAAGCCACATCGGAGAAGGGATGTGGCTCGGTTTGTGCATCGATTGTACTCAATTCGAATGTTTGACTCGTTTCCGACGATTCTGATGTCAACAAAAGCTCGACTGTACTTTCAAAATCCTAAAATTGTGACAAAGCATGTAATACTTCATAAGGAATTGCATTTACCCCATTGCTCCAATCGAACGAGTGAATGTTCTCAATGAACAACGAAGCGTACAAAGTGATCGGCTTGTTTTCTAGAATTTGGATTTATACAAATAAATCTTGATAGTTTATTTGTATAAATCCAAATCCGACTTGTACTAGGTCTTTTTAAATCCATGGACCTAGTACAAGGCAGCTTAGGCTTAAAGAAGAGTCCAGTTTATAAAATTAGAGAATATTTTTCTATACGGAATCGGAAAAAAGCACTTACCAAGTCCCAACGAAGTCTTCAACAGAAGTAGGGAAAATAAAATGATTTGACTCATTGATCAAAGAGAACTGAAATAGGTTTAGTGTTGCGGAAAAGGAAACAATTCGATAGAGCGATAAATAATGGGGTTGAGGGGAGATTTGGAGAAAAAACGCTAAGAAAATGGATGAAGATTGTGGGCTAGTTTACAGCTTTTAACCCATGAGGAGAAAGAAAAAGATTGGGGGAAAAGAAAAGTCGAAAAAAGATGGAGGAAATGACATTCGTCAAGGAAAAACATCGAGGAATGAGGTTTTTGAAAAAAATTAGTGAAATTTTGAGGGAAAATATGTTTGGGTGATCTTTTACCTTAACAAAGAGGATTTATCCTCTTTGTTATCTTGGATATCTTGGATCTTGGATAAAGAGAAAAATGAGGCAAAAGCTTCGCTCGAAAAGCTTTTTGTTGCAAAAGCACTTTTTTGTTTATTTAATTGAATTTTTTTCAATCTTTGAAGTCTTATTATCTGAATTTTATTTTGAAAATAGATTTCCAATGAGTAAAGGATCACCTACCGTAAATACTGTAATAGTACCCCATCCCCATAATGACGGTGCGGAGGGTTGCGTAGTCTAGCTTTGAACGAGTTTTTCTCGACACTGGTTTATGCTACAATGCTCGATTAGGTATCAAAAAATAGCCCTGAATTTCAGCTATTTTTTGATACCAAAGACGCTTTTTTTGAAAGTACGGGTGCTTTGAAAAAAATGAAATACTAAAAAACTTTTGTGACTACGCGACTGTACGAGGAGGGTGGGGTACTATCACAGTATTTACGGTAAGCTTGTTATAATACTTGTGTTACCAAAATAAAACCATTCATTAAATTTTTGAAAATTTTAAACACTCTGCGCTCTGGATCTTTTTTAAAACCAAATTCACACTCACCAATCTTTTTTTTTCGAGTAAATTTGAGCAATTTTTAATCAAATTTAAAAGGTTTCTTACTTCACATAGTACTAGTTCTTATGAAAGGGTTAATAAAGGGCTTAATCGATGCGATTTAGACACTTTAACAAAGAATAGATAGTGCTCGTGTCAATAGATAAAAGATAGAGGACAAAAGTTTGATGTATAACTAAATTTTTAAAGAAATTCATTCAGCCAATTTCTTCTTCCTAGAGGTTTTTATAGATTTTTATGAAGTTCTTTTATTTTTATGAAGCCAATCTTTATGATTGTTGGTATCATTTTGTTGCACTTGTTGAGCAATTTAGGCAATTGACTGAATACCAAACAGTTACACTGAATACCAGTTTATTACTCTCGGCAATACACTGAATACCAGTTTATTACTCTCGAATTTGCTTCAAAGTGAACCGAAATTGACTTAAAAAGATGGGAAATTGAACAGTGAACACTTTTTATTTAGAGTAAATCATAGGTTAATTGAGTGAATTTGTTATTTTTTTTGATGAAAGTATGAAAAGGAACGAAAAGCCTTTCTGGATAGCATCCATAGGTGTTGAGGATAAGAGAAAGAATACACAAAGAGAGTTTTCTTTTCGTTTCGGTCTTTGGCACCACCTATGTGTGCATCAAAAATGGACGCCTCAGCTTTTCCCCCCTCTTTTTTTTTCTCATTCACTTCACTTGTTCCCACCTGTTGTTCATCCTCACTAGTCAGTTGGAAGAAAGGACTCTTCACGGACCAATACCCTATCCAATACAAAGAGGTGAAGAAGAAACACATTTTTGAGAAGTATTAGTTTACTTTTTACTTTAAAGTCTTTAATTTTTGGTTTACTCTTTAAAATGAAAGTCATTGAGCTATTTGAATGTTTCGAATTGTTGTCCACAATTTAAATTCTTACAATTATTGAAGTTCGAGTGAAATTTGGTACACAGGTACAGTTAACCGACTATAAATCAAAGAATAGATAAGTTAAAGCTTTCTTCTAGATTCTATTTGCTTTATAGAATTTGTAATCTCTAAAAGTTTCCTCAAAGACAGAAAAAGAACATTAGCAAAATGTGTTGATTGAAGAGCTATTTTTTTCGTCGTTTCCCCTGAAATGTCTTTTTCACAGATGTTTCTTTCAATCAGTTTTCCTCATAAATCCATAGAATAAGCATAAAGTATTTATTGCGAAAGTTTTTGATTATCAAGATTTCATTTGATTACTTATTTATAAGAAAAGAGCTCAAAATATAATAAATAATAAAAAAAGACTAAAAAGAAAAACTTAGGAAACCGGGATCTTTTTGGGCGTTTCGAGATCACACAAGAGACAATGAGAGACACAAGCAGGCACAGGCAAATGGGGAAATGGGCAAATGGGGCAAATGCGGTAAAGAACTTAAAAATGAATTGCCATTTCCTTTTGTTTAATTTCTTTTGTAGAAAAGTTTTCTATGAATTCAATGAGAGAAAAGTCTGGCAGTCCGGTTAAGGTGATGAGGAAGAGATAAGGCTTCATGAAGTGCTCAAGTTCAAACAATTTTAGGCGATTCTGATTAGGTGAGTGCCTGGAATTTGTCTTGTTTAAAACTTTAAAGTAAAAGAACTTCTCTCACCTGAACACACGAGAGACAGCACTCTCCCGCATAATCGGTGATTCCACCATGTACCTCGCTCATCTGAAAGATACTGATTTACTCAAGTTGACAGACAGATTTATTGAATTTGGATTTGGCCTGATCTAGCTTACAGACTCGAGGATCCTATATATATTCATGAATTCTAGGGTTTAAAATGGCATTTCTAAGGTTGAGCCTAAGCCTAAACCTTAGTTCTGGGAACTGGTCGAGATCCAGAAAAGGTGGGGTTAGCCCAAACCCAAATAGACTTAGTTACTGCCTTTGCGCTAGCTACTGCCTTTGCACTAAGTTCAAGCTTGGGCCTGAACTGTTTCAAAATCGACCGTTTTTTACAGGCTTATTCAAAACTAGCTCTGGACTGGCTTTACTGAAAACGAGCAAAGCCAGAAGCCAGACTTGAACCTGGATTTGGCCTAGCCTACAGGCTCTAGGGTCCCATATTGTAATTCTATGTGAATTCTAGGGTTTAAAATAGCATTTCTAATAAGCTACTTTTATATTATGCATTTTGTACTAGTAATCTGTTTAATGTACTACCAGATCGTCAGCATTCTCGGCGGCACTCTTCAGAATCGTGTTATACCGTCGACGCTTGCAATACGAGACGAGAGCCTGTGATTTTTCAAATTTTCGAATAAATATCATTTCCAATATCTATTGTACTTATTCTTAAATAAATATATACCGTATTTATTCTAATTAAAGAGCCTCTCCAATTGAAGAGCCTTCTTTAGACGAAATTTTTCATTTTTTCGAATTTGTCAACTCTCGGATAGAAAAATCCTTAACTTTTAAAAAGGCTTTCAAAGGCTTTAAATAATATTTATAGACTAAAAAAAGCTTCGTGAATGAAAACCGATTGAAAATCCAACAAAAACACCTATTTTTGAGCTCTTGAGAATTTGAGTACCGTATTTTCTCTAATAGTAGTGCACCCGGGCGAGCCGAGTTGGTGACTATTTTACGGTTTCCAAGCTTTTGCAGAAGCTAAACACTCAAATCCTCCACTAGATCTCATCGTCAGCTACATTTTCCGACCCCACATCGATAGGTTCTGATAAACGGTTCTCGAGATTTCGAGCAATTTAGGCGACGCTCAGGGTGCACTACTATTAGAGAAAATACGATATATTGTAGCTAGGGCACGAAAAAGAAGAGAGACATTCAAGGGGACATTCAAACATTTTATTCACATTAGAGGGACATTGAAAAATAGAAGAGTCGGCTTATTTTTTTATGAAACTATAATGTTTATGGTATTTTATGCTTTACTTGTCAAAAATCCCCTCACCTGAACAAGGAGAACCGTTCCAATTGCGCTCAACAATCGCCCACCGAAATTCAACAAACCGATCAAATATTTTGATGGACCAGTCACAATTGCTAAAGGGAAACGAAAGCTAGTTTTTTTTTGAAAAAAAATTCATTACTTTTTTTAAGCTGAAATTTCATGGAATGCTCATTGCTGACAGCTGCTTGAATAATCTCGGCGTTTAGTTGAGCCGCCCTAAAACTTTCTCGTGTAAAGTTTTACCAGGCATTGACGGTTCGGCGTGGAATTGCAAGACTCACCGAAAGTAAAGTTTTTTCGTTTTGATTCTCTAGCTTTTGATTCTCTACCTTTTGAGAAGTACATGTTAATTGAATATCTATTTTTTTGTTTATAAAAGCTTTGAATCAAATACGTCAATGTTTTTCTTTTGAATCGCTCACCAAACAGACGCCAAATATGAGAGAACGTTGCAGAGTGCGCCGAGAATTAAAAACAAAATGATACCAGCACATTGATGACCTAGAAAATAATATATTTGAATAAGAATTTCTCAACAAACGATTAAATCTTTCTCGGTGTTCCCGGAGTTTTGTTCGGATACTCGTCATTGACAGGGATTTCTTCAAACCTCCCGTTTTACCAGGCATTAACGGTTCGGCGAGTGTTTCATCAGGAATTGCAAGACTCACCGAACCACTAAATTTCATTAAATCAATCAAAAGTATTTTAGATTAATTATCAGATAGATTTTTACTATAAAAGCAAACGTTACAACAAAAATTTACTATAAAAACATGTTTTTAAACAAACCCCTTGTCGCTTTTTGTCCGTAATGGCTTCTGTTCATCGTCGCTGTGTCTAAACTTATAGAATTTAACAATAAATTATTGAATTTATATTTAACATTGTTAGATTTGGTATTTCTCACCTTCTCGGATCCGAAGTGATCGTCGGTTGATGAACGATGATTTCAACTTGACCTTTTGCTGGCAACTCTTCGGTTAATTTTAGCGGGATTGCTGGCGGAATGGTGGCCTTTGGTTTCGAGGGGCCTAAAGGGAATTTCGATAAGAATAGCAAGTAGATTGTTTAAAATATCAAAATATCATTTTTTTTTCCGATACCAGGTTCATTTATCGTTGATGTAAGCGGTTTCCTTTCTTCGGCTCCTTTTCCTTTTCTCATTGCTTCGGCGGGTGGTTTACGCATTCTAAAATCGGTTTATATTGATAAGCAATTGAATTTAAATTTAATAAATCTAATAATAGATTCGCTATTAATCTATCTGATAAGTAATAGACAAAGAAGTATCAAGGAAGAAGAGAATGAATTAGAAAATCCTTGGTTATTCAACAATTTTCTAGATTTTAAACGTTCTTTTTAAAAATTCTTTTAAAAAAATTTATTCTACCTTTTTATCTTTTGGGTGTGTTTTGAGTGGTGTCCCGGGTAATTATTGTGATTTTGTCTTGTCGCTATTCAACTGAATAAAGCATATATATATACCTCATTAAATATTAGATTTTTCTATCAAAGTTGTAAAGATTTTTCAGAAAACTTTCAAACTGATGTCAATTCAATTTCTCCAAGTCTAGATATTTCAAAATGACCTCTGTTACTCATTGCCTTTACCTATTTTATCCCTTTTCGAAGCTTTTAGCACAAGAAAATTCCTTTAGAATAGGATTTCTATGGCAACGAATGAAAGCATTGAAAAAATTAGAAAAAAAAAACTGCTACAAGTTAATAAATTCTAAAATATGCTTAAAATAAAAATAACTGGGACTCAGCCTCTTTTCCCGAAAAGCGAAAAAGTGTAAAGATGATGGGGAACGAGTGAGTGACAAAGTGGGGAAGTCAGTGTGAAAACGAACCATTTTCAAGAGAAGGAAAAGATGGAGATTTTTCGAGATGAGAAAGAGCTTCTCGTAACAATCAGTTGGCTTTTGAAAGTGATGACTCGCTCTATGAGACAATCCTCATCAATCAATGAATAGCTGAAAATCTTTTGAAATTCTAATACTTTGTAGCCGATAGTTCAAAAAGTTTGCAAAAAGAAACTTAAGAACAATTTTTCATCAAGCCAAGTAGGTCCTGGCTTTGCTTCAAGCTTTGCCTGATTGGCCTAAAAGGGGGAGGGGGTTGTTTTTCCCCCCCACCCAAAAAAACCAAAAAAAAAACCCCAAGCCTAAGCCTAAGCCTAAGCCAACAAAAATCCCTGGACCTGGTTTTTGGTTGAGCTACAGAGCTCTGTTGGAATAGCTTTTACAAGTGAGCAAACTTGATCTATAAACAAAAGTGTAACCCTTGAATCTCTAATAAAAATAAAATAAATAAAATAAAAATAAAATCTCTACACAAAGACAATTACTGTTAATCAAATCAAGTAAAATAAACCCAAAAAGAAAGTTGCGCAAAGTGAAAACTTGAAGCATTCAAGGGTCATGGTTGAAAAATTGCGAGAAAAGCCGTGCTTTTTCCAATGAAATTTCCTCCTTGTTGTTTTTTACATCCATTGCCTCTTGGGGCAATACATGAGCCTCTTTTTTTTCTTTTCTCCTCAAAACGGGGCCCGAAGTATCGACGAGGAGGGAAAATGGAGTGAAGAAAGAGAAGCCTTTTAGAGTCCCCATTCCTTTTTTGGATTCAAGTAGAAAAAAACGGGTCCTTGGTGGGAACAAAACTTTCAAATAAGATCAAATTTCGTTTTTCTTGATGAATTTCGACACATGGGTGAATCATTAAATTATTTGTGAGTTCGGTACAATGGAAACCAGGTTTTATGAAGCTAGACCAAAGATAAGCTCCTATCTGACATCTGACTGGCCCAGATAGATTTTAGAGTCAAAGCTGACCAGGAAAATTGGATTCTAATTTGTTTAAAAAGTTGCCTTATCTTGTGAAGTGAGGAAAAGCCTTCAATCCGTGCTATAAACACTCACTATCTAGCACAGCAGTTTTGAAACATCTCTTCTAAACATCTACTATCTGACCTACTGTTTCTTATCTTTTCACAGGATTTAAAAAATAAGAATGCCAGAAAGTGTGCGTTTACTAGAGCACAAAGTATCATTTTTGCTTTCTTTCTTTTTCTTTTTTACTGTGTTATTTGTTGATTTGTATTGTTAATGATCAAAATGATGCTAAAAATTTATTGTATTTAATTTAAGCTTTATATCCAGAATCTTTATCCATTTCAAAGTTTACTTTGTTGTTTATGGTGAAGAAAAGTGGCAAGATCGCCCCAAAACGGTGTCCTTTTATCAGTGTGACGACGGAATTCAGCCATCAGATGCTCATAAGCGCTAAAATGAATCGAAATTTTAGATATCTTTTTTATCTACCGTCCATCGCTTGATCCAAGCGCTGAGTTGAGAACGAAATCGGGTGGAGCGATGACATCGACAAGAGAAATGGCATCGGGTGCAAGAAGGGTTTCCTCATCGATAAGAGTATTTCTCACCCATTCACCAAACGATCCACCCGAACAGAAACCACCTGGGAGTTATTGCTTTCAACTATGTTTACAACTTGTACAAGTTGTACAAGTTGTACAGGTTGTAACTATGTTTTCAACTAGACTAGAAATTGGCAAAAAGGTGTCTGTTTAATCTAACAATGCAATCGATAAAGCGATAAAGCTTTCAACTTTCAACTATGTTTACAACTTGTAAGCAAGATAGGCAAGGTTACGATAAGCTTTATCGATCGATTATAAGCAAGATAGGCAAGCTTTATCGATTGCATTCTTAGATTAAACAGACACCTTTTTGCCAATTTCTAGTCTTACCTTATATTTTAACTTATTAATAATCAAAAAAATATATTATAACTCTAGAACTGAATTTTTCGAGTTCTCAAAGACATGCTTAGCTTTTCAAAAAAAAAACTAACCAATGTACAGAGTAGATAAATGTTTCTCAATTCGATCGAGCGCAAAAATATTGACCAAACGTTGCAGCACAGATCTACAAATCTTTTTGGATTTCAAAAGCTCAATTTTTTTTTTACTTGAATGCTATCGGAGCGTCGTCAACAAAGGCTTGTGCCCACGAAAGCATCACCCTTTCTCCGTAAGCAATCGAGAGTGTGTGAGCTGTGTAAATCTACAAACAAATGACAATTGATCTATTTGAAAGTTCAACCTGTGACTCATTTTTGACATCAAACGAGCTCTTTCCTTGTGCTTTCAGCTCTTTATGTCGCATTTCGGTTTTTGCGATCAGATGATGCACAAGCCAAGTGTAGGCGCCGAGGACACCTGGGAAAACTTACAATTACTGATTATAATATCTTCTTGCTTTTAAAACATAGCCTTATCACAGTTCAATTATAAACTTAAAGATACTGTAACTTTCTCTACAGTTTCTCCCTTTCAAGTTGAAAACTATAGGTTTTGCCTTTTCTTTCGGAGTTGCGATGATCGCTTATTTTGCATAAAACTACAGTAATACAATGGTTTAAGTTAGAAAAGTAGATTACTTTTGTTTCATCTATTCTATTTCCATTTATTCTATTTGACTTTCCATCTATTCTATTTGACTCACGTCTAACTACCGGTCCATCAACTAATGCCCCGCCATCAACCAGGAAATCCGTTGTTCCCATCGGACTTTTCAAATCTCCGCCTGCCGCTTTCTTGGCCACCAACCAATTTGAGGTTTGTTGAAGGAGGACATTGTTTTCTCCCTAAAAGCCTTTCAGTACGAAAAGAGTTGTGGCAGCTTCAAGTTTAAGACTTTTAAATAGTGGAGACTGTGGACTGTGAAGAACGATTACAAAAAAAGAGCAAAAACAACTGCGATCAAACCTCGAAAGTTTGTGATGGATCAAAATCATCGCGAAGATTGTTCAGACGAGATGATTGGAGGAAGCTGTAATGCTTTGAACATTTGGATATCAAATCCATCTTCTCACCCATGTCCTCCACAACATGTCCTCGCTTCACCCAATGCTGCCACGCCCATCCAAGTTGCTAGCGGCTTTGTGCAAGATGATAAGCCATGCACTTCTTTTGACAACTCTGCCTAAAAGCTTTGTTTTTGAGATGTTTATGCAAAAACACATTTTCTGGTTCACTTAATTCTACGCTTTTTTTGCAGTAATGGCTCTAGTGCTCTAGCTCTAGATGTGCTTAAATTTTGTGAGTACAAAGTGCACTCAAAATCAAAAGATGGCTTAACGTTTGGGTGAAAAACTTGAAGGGAAATTTTGTTTTCCTCACCAATTCGGGACTTTTCTCTCCGCCAACCATTCTCATCATATACTCGCGGAAATGATTCATCAATTTCGACTGATAAAGTCGAATCACGTAGGCTTGAGCCAAAATCGGAAATAGACGATGTCTTTGCAGAGGATAGGTGATCACAGCTCGTTCATCTAGAAACAAATTAAAGGCTTTCATTTTTAAAGTTTCCTACTATCACTGCCAGGTTTTTCGCCGAATTGATGTCGAGCACAGCTGTACCGAATCGCGATTGTGGCGGCAAGGCGGCAAGCGTTTGCTCCTTTTGCTACGATTCCTAAATTTAGCCTAACAATAAACTTGTTGAAAGCTAAAGATCATGAATGGTAAGCTTATTGTAATCACAAAGTTTACCAATTCTGCCAGCACTCAGCGATCCAAGACTGACCGATTGACGTTCTCGACTCGACGAATAGGCACTCTTATATTCACCGCTCTCTGTCACATCACATCCTTTATTCAAAAGAGTCCACAATGGGGCACGATGGTTCTAAAAGGTCAAGAACTCATGGAATTCAAATATCATAGTCCAGTCCTTACATATTCTTGTGCTCTACGGTAAGTAAGCGAAATTTCTCACCGAGAAGCTCATCCACCCATTCTCGACTCCATCCCAAACACCCGGCTTTGTGCCCATGTCGCCGATGGTGATCCCGGGAAGTGAGCGGTAGTTATTTGGATCTCTGAATGGATATTTCGAGTGAATTGAAGTTTGAGCTAAGTTCTCAATCGTCCTTCATCCCCCACCTAACTTGTAGAGCGAATGCATGAGGACCGTGATCTTTCCGCCAACAATCAACCGAGCGAACACCACCGCGTGAGTGGCTGATTGAGCTGAACTTTTGGTGTACACTTGGGAAAGAATATCGGCTAACCGAGATTCCCAGCCCAACACTTGATTGCTCCATCGTGTGGAGTGGTGAAGACGAATTCTCCCTTGTCGAATGTGGCCAGGGTTCCTGAAATGATTTTTCTTAAAATTCCATATAAAATGGAATTTGATTGGGCGATATAAGGAAATCGAAAGATCAAAGTCAAATCAAAATCACTGTATAAAGTCTTGGCGAGGTGTCCTTTATGCGCGTGCACAATCGCTCGTCATCTGATAAACCCCCTCGGGGTATATGGGCTTCCCTTTTGGAACCATTCATATCCCATTTTCATCACTCACCAATCTCAGCCGTATTCGATCCGTGCGAGACTTCGGTTAGACAAAAACAGCCAACGATCTAAGATAAGTTAATTTAGGATTAAGATTCACCGAAACCTCATTGTTTCTCGTTTTTCGAGAATCTCCGCGTGTCTTTCTGTGCCGATCGTGAGAATTGCCGAGAAAAACACCTAAATGAAATTTTTGGAGAAGAGAAAAGAATTTTGTCATAAAAAGGTAGAGATTTTCAGAAAATCTACATTTGCGTGTAGAGCATATCTTCCAGACAATCCTTGATCATACGTTTCAAGGATTTCGAGAAGGTCTTGTGTTCGCTCAAGCTCGGCGAAAAACTGAAAACAATAGAGCTTATTCACATCGATCATCGATCGTCCCATTTTCTCACTCACATCATCAATAAATTGATGTTCAAGAACTGCCTTCCATCTTTTGTGATTGATTTCTCGATATTCATCGGTTGAAGGACGGCTGAAATCTCGGGCAAAGATCGGATCTCGGCTAAGCACCGCGTAGACCTCGTTCTACAAATAAGAATAAGATTCTTTCGATAAAACAGCTCGATAAAAAGCTCGAAAATTGAGTCTAATGCTAAGAAATATCAATTTTTATATATAAAACCTTGAACTTGATCGATTCCTCTCCTTCAAGATGTACTTTCAATGCTTTCCAATCAAAAGTCGCCGTTTCTCGGAATGGAGTCAATGGTCCTTTAGGCAAATCGGCGATCAAATCACTCATTTTTCAAGAAAGAAGTGTTTTAGAAAGAAGAAAATTTGTTCCAAAATTGTTCCCTTGTGATTGAATGGATGGAAAAGAGATCGGATAGGGGAAAAGGGAGGGGAAAGATTGGCTTCCATTATCAAAGACTACACCCCCCTTTTTTTTGCCCATCAATGGGAATCTCTAGCGAGCAAACTACAATGTGATAATTTTTCTTTTGCACAAATTTGTCGTACCTATGTGATTTAATGTCAACTTGTGACTTGTTTGAATTCTGATACGTCTTTTCACATCTTTGCAATGAATTGGTGTCCTTGTTTCAATGGGTAACTGACGTCATACTCAATTTAAATCCATTTTTCTTTGTACTGAATCATTTATCAACTTTGCTTGTAAATGTAAAACCTTTATTAAGCAATATTTCTAATGAAGCATCAATGATTTTTCTTTATATGATTAGCGAATGGTTGATGCTCGGGGATCTCTTCGAGTCGAAAAGGCTCTGACTGAAAATTTTGTCTAGTAAAGTCAAAAATTTTAGATCTAGAGAAACAAAAATTGTTTAACCTTATCATTTTCTGTCGTCGTCGTTGTCGTTGTTGTTTCTGTGTCTTTATCCTTTTCGCTCTTTATATGATTAGCGAATGGTTGATGCTCGGGGATCTCTTCGAGTCGAGAAGGCTCTGACTGAAAATTTTGTCTAGTAAAGTCAAAAATTTTAGATCTAGAGAATCAAAAATTATTTAACCTTATTATTTTCTGTCGTCGTTGTCGTTGTTGTTTCTGTGTCTTTATCCTCTTCGCTCACTTCGCTGATTCGACTCGCGATATGGTGGGGTTTATACTAAAAATGGTGAGGTAAAAGAAACCAGTTTCACAATAGAATTGTTTATTGTTGTGAAATAAAAAAAGATAATGGTTAAAGCTGATTAATGATTCTTTTTGAATGCTGCAAAACACCCTAGTTGATCAAATTCTTTGAGTAGAAAATTTACGCAAACTTTCAGCATCTGGCGTATTCAATCCTCTACTTTTAATGGTTATGTTTAATAAAGAAATGAAGGAATTGACAAGAAAAAGTCTTAAAATTTTAAAATCATAGAGTTATGGAGATAAAATAGCTGATAGCCTGGTCATCTCTAAGTTCACCCCGATTCATTGTGAATGACTGGATTTTTAAATGAAAATTCATCAGCTATCAATCGTTATGAAAATTTCAATATCTAGAGATATTCATTTATCAAAGATACTCGTTTAATTAAGAACTATGAGAACTTAAAGTACTATGAGTTAAACATGGGAAAATAGCACCGTTTCTTGACCGTTTCTTGACCGATTGCTCTGCATTTTTGTCTACAAGCTGAAAATGTCGATTTCTATTTGTAGATAAAATTTTAGAGCAATCGGTCAAGAAACGACTGAGAAAACGAAGGTGGAATTAGGTTCGGCTTGGAGTTTTCCCTTGAAATTCACTAGGAGTGACCTCCGGATTGCTGACTCCATGTGCACTTCCCTCTTCATCGACTTCATGGTCCACCTCATGCACCACATCATTCTTCAAAAAGGTCGGATCTGAAAATGTTGCTTATTTTTACTGATTTTTCAACATTCTTCTGTAAAACATAAGAACTATAAACAAAAAAAAATCTAAGAAAAGCTTGCAAAAAGCAAAAGCATAGACAAACCTACGATAATTGTAGGGATCTTCCCTGTGTCGGCTCCGAAAATTTGAAATACTATAGATAGAGAAAAATAGATTAAAAAAAAAGAACAATGCACAGCAATCACCCAGGCAATTTCACCAGAAAATCCACGTTATTGTTACAATCGTTGTACAATTGTTGTTACAATTGTTATATTGTTTACAATTGTTGTATTACAATTGTTGTATTACAATTGTTGTACAATTGTTTTAAAACGAACTGAATGAAAGCTCAAACGGTCGATCGTCGGTCGATGGTGGACGAGAGATATTTGAGGAGTTGAAGCGAGATAATGTCCCATTATTATTGATCACACTATTCGCTTGATATGGAAGTGGGAAGCCGCGAACGGTGAGGTTCGGCGAATTCGAGAGGGAATTCGCCACACTCACCGAAATCGATCGATGCCGGGGACCCCTGGAAATTTGAGGAAATAGAAGAGATCACGTTAAATGTTTTTAAAATCTCATACAGAAATCAACAATGACAAGATCAATTTGAATCTTTATCTTAAGAGCTGATTAGTGATTCTTTTTGAATGCTGCAAAACACTCTAGTTGATCAAATTCTTTGAGTAGAAAATTTACGCAAACTTTCAGCATCTGGCGCATTCAATTCTCTACGTTTAAGGCGATTTTAATGATTATGTTTAATAAAGAAATGAAGGAATTGACAAGAAAAAGTCGATTTCTGGAGAGGGGATTGAAGCCTCGACCTTTTGCTGACAATTGCTCGAATCACTGAGATATCTGAGAACCACTGAGACCACTGAGACCACTGAGATACCACTGAGATAGGTGCCTTAGTTCTCCAAGAGAAAGAAGGAAAAACAACGGGGAAGATAAGTTTAACATCTTATTTAGTCAAGTCCACCAGAAACGATTTTCCTCGAAACTCACAAATTCGAGAAGCTATCTCGGATCTTTTTTCCGCGGCTTCATACTCATCAGACTTTGCGCAAAGCTACGGGGCAATGATTCCTGAAAATTGGATGATTTTTGAGAGAAAGAACTTCCTCACCATTGATGGAGCTGATGAAACAGGCGGAATTTCGACCATTTTCACATCGTCGTTTGGCTCAGCCAATCTATAAGAGTATTGGATTCAAAATAAAAACATTTTAGCTGAAGCCTTCTTAATTAAGATGAAATATAGACAAAAAGGAAAATCTTTATAAGTTAAATATCATCACTTTTCCAACTTACGTAACATGAGCAGCTGATCCGGCCAACACATTGTTGTTCCCGTTCTTTTTACTGTCCTCTGAGTAGACGGGAGCTTGATTTGTCTAAAGATTTTTCCTTTTAAAGCCACTCCAATAGAATAAACCTTGAATTTATCCATAAAGAGATCTGGATAGTGTTTATAATCGTCATCAACAATGGCTAGACCTGTCTGCAAATTCGTTTATGGGAAAAGAGAAGAATGTACACCATTTTCCTTAGTTATCGCAAAAAACTCACCGCAATATTCTTGTCGATGAGGAAATTCATCTCAAAGTCGTCATCATCTTCGCCAAAAGGATTCAGCAAAGCTTCAGCTACCTGAAATACAGTACTGGACAATGAAATATGATATTTGAAAAACGATCGTCACCTTCGCGCGTCTGTAACTCCCTTGTCTTTGAGTTTAAACTATTAGTGTTATACATTTTCTGAAAGCTCTTTTCAAGGGCTACACAATGGTAATATTAATATTTAGAAATACGGTAAAGACAAAGGAGTTACAGACGCGCGAAAGTGACGATCTTTTTTCAAAATATGATATTTCATTGTCCAGTAGTGGATCTGTAAATTGAATAAATTACTGAAACAAACCTTCATCCAACCAACCAAAAAGATGAACTCAAAGACAGTCATCATTGGAAAGTACATATCAACCTGAAAAGTTCACAATTTATAGTTTGATCTGCATTTGTGCTGCAAAAAGTGGAAACACATCACTTCTGGCAAACTCGAGCAGTGATAGTGAGGTGCTTTTGAAAATAAAATGAAAGATTTGAGTCCACTAGAAGGCTTTTGATCGCACAAAGTACACAAAGTTCAAGACTTTTCTTACCCCAGTCCTCGTTTTTTGGATCATTTCCAACAATGAATTGCCGCCCGACAACACAAATTCCAAAATAGACTCGAACCGCCAAGAAAATTACCTGATCAAGATAGTGAGAAAGTTTTTGCAAAAAAAAACAAACTTGAGGATAGGCCAATGGGATTGGAACCCAGTCAAAACTGCATAGGGTTTGAAGATTGTTGCGGAAGAATTTGATCTCCTGAATTGAATGGAAGATTGATGAACACAAGAAATTGCACTCACATTGAGTAAATAGTTGAGATGACTGACTTGCATCACCCCATCGTTGTTCGGATTTGCGCCCACCGGTTTCCCATCGGCTGGCTGAATTCTTTGGTATTCGTTTTTTTTCCAGTTAGATCTTCTTAAACTATTTCTGCAAACTACCGTAATTCTATGTCTAGTTTTCATCAAAAATCAATCTACTTTTGGAGGAGGATTCTGTGAGGATATCGAAAGATCTTTAAAGTTTATAGATTGAAAACTAGAAGCAAGATTACTGTAGGAGAGCTACAGTAATCCTACACTGTAGGAAAGTAGACCCGTTTTAGCAAACAACAAATTAGTTGAGAAGAAAATACAATACGATATATCTTATGAATTACCTCCAAACAAAGGGCACAAGCCCAATTGATTGGCACCCAATATTTATTATATTTTTCATCGATTTTCACATCTTCTAACATTTTCAACTCGTGTTCTTGAAGAAAACCTGAAATTGGATTAAGTGGCTTGGGTTTAAGAACCATTTCTAGATATTTAATATTTTAAAAACTCTGTTTATCATTGTTCTCACCGCCACTCACAAGTGATCGAAGAGTAGGGAAACGGCGACGAACCGAAATGGAAATGTCACGGAAGACCAACACCTGATCGTTAAATATTGGGTTGGTGAATTGAAAACTGCCGGCTATTGTCATATGTGACAGTTTGAGCACTTTCGTCAAAGAAACCCATTTTGGTGTCAATGGAAAAGTTGTAGAGAATCAAAAATCAAGCTTATATCCAAATTTTCAGAACAATTCAAAAGCTGCTTTTAAAGAAATACCAAATTTACGAATTTTTTGACAAAACTTGCATTTTAAGCGAAACTACTAAGTGTCTCTTTTTAGAAATTTGGCTATAAGCCTGATTTTTGATTCTCTACAACTTTTCTATTGACACCAAAATGGGTTTCTTTTGAAAAAATTGCTCAAACTGGGACATCTCCAGTCCTCGATTTTTGAGTCTCACACTTGTCTCACACACAAACCAAAATCCTACCACGAAAGAGGAATCCGCAAATTGCCTGTAAAATGAGCAGAAGTCGTCAATAATAATATAAAAGTTTCGCTTAAAATGCAAGTTTTGTCAAAAAAATTCGTAAATTTGGTATTTCTTTAAAAGCAGCTTTTGAATTGTTTCTGAAAATTTGGATATAAGCTTGATTTTTGATTCTCTACAACTTTTCCATTGACACCAAAATGGGTTTCTTTTGAAGAAAGTGCTCAAATGAATTTATGGTTTTATGTTGAATAAATTTTAGTTCAAAGTTCGGCAGTTTTCAATTCACCAACCCAATAATTAGATAATTATATTTGATAATTAGATAAAAATTAGATAATTCTATAGAATTTGTTTAAAAAAATACCTGTGATAGAACAAGATATCGGATGATTGATCGACGAATCAATCGCATTCTCTCACTCGCCCCGTGAACGAGAGCCGCTGTTGTGAGAGCTACGCTAAAATGCTCTCAAAATCTTGTCAGTTTTTTGTTATTTTCAATTGCCTTTATAACTGAAGAAATTTGAGAAGTTTGCTAGTAAGTAAAGAGTAAAAGAATAGCTAAACTCACTTCTCAATCCATCCCATATTTGTGAGAATTTGTCTCCATCGATCAACAACTTGTGTCACAAAGAAACCGAGCATAAAAGTCAATGGTATCCTGACGACTCGACTATTCACATGTGCGGCAACCCGTTCCGAAATTTCTGCTCAATCAATATATAGAAGAAAAGAACATTTCTTTCAACTCTACTCTTGTTGTCGATGACTTAAAATGAGATCACTTCGATAAATGAACATAACCATATAATAAAGAAGTAACCACATGAGAAGCTCATTGATCACTAAATGAAATCATTTACCTCTAAGCTGATTTACTAAAAAAAACATTAGAACGTTTTGCCTTAGAAATTACATCAAATGTTGTACAATTTTCTTTGAAAGAGATATTTTTACCTATGCAGGGTGCGCCATAAGTTCTCGTACTTGTATTTTCTGTATTTTTGGTGATGTTAGATAAAAGATACGATTTTAAAAGTAAGAAATTCTAATTCCTCGTGAAAACTGATTTAGAAAACGTTTCTGGTTAATTTATAAGTGCAACACTATTTAAGACAAGTGATTGAGAAGAGGGTCCGCTCAGGCGTGCTTTGGTCACACAGTTATTTCTTTTGATGGAAATTTGTATGGGAAAACCAAGTTCTAACTCGGTCGTTGACCAAAACCTGACTTCCGACTCGGTCGTTGACCAAAACTTTATACGTCCAATATAAAAAATGTCACATTTTATGTCTAGTTTTCAAAAAACATCTTGGCTCTTGAAAATCTTTTGATCCATAAAAGTGACAGGCCTAAAGCCCCAAAAAAATGTGCGACCAAAGCACGCCCTGAGCAGATCCTCTTCTCAATCACTTGTCTTAAATAGTGTTGCACTTATAAATTAACCAGAAACGTTTTCTAAATCAGTTTTCGCGAGGAATTCGAATTTCCTACTTTTAAAATCGTATCTTATCTAACATCACCAAAAATACAGAAAATACAAGTAAAACGGGAACTTATGGCGCACCCTGTAGATTAGGTAAATCTAACTTTCATATGGTAACAAAAAAATGCTTAAATACTTCTTTTTTTCTTGCTGAGTGTGCCAGAAATTTATCGATTATAATCCTGTCCAAAATTACCCGATTTCCAAATACTCCCGCGCCACCGAAAGAACAATTTTATCCATGAAAAGCACGAGACATTTGCAACATCCAAATTATAGGGAACCGTCATGTTAACATTCACAAAATTGGATGAATAAAGGTGAAGAAGGAAGTCTAGATATTAGTTAGAGATTAGATAGATATTAAATAGATATTTAATCTTTGAAACGTGATTGATCTCGAGGAAATCTTCTTGTCTAACTCATATTGAAGGGGAATGGATGGAGAGATATCAAGGACACACCTTCCCCATCTTCTCCATTCGATAACCATTCCACGTTTCCCCATCTTTCCCTTTTCTCTCATAAATCAGTGTATCTTGAACATCGATACCCGGGAAAAGCAGAGTAATCCTGTCAAACGGTTTTCTCTTTTTGACTTGAAAACGCGGTGATTGCTGATGTCTTTTCTTCAAAAGCACTTTTAAAACTAATTGAATGATCTCTCGCATATCTGTATCGTTTATCTTATGTCGAAACTTTTTGAAAGTTTTTTGAATCCTCAGATCATCCGGAAACTGATCTAGACCACGAGTACCATGGATAATGATAGATTTGACTAGAAACTATGTTCCTCTCACGCGTTTTCTAAACATGTCCCACCGCAATCTTTCCTCTGCTTCCTATTTTAATTTTATAGCTTTCGATATTCTTCGAAACCCTCAGAAAAGATTACGTTTTGTGGTTGTCAAATCCAAATCCAAAATGCCTAGCTCTCACGCATTTTAGCATTTATGTGTACTCGTGAGACAGCGAGAATTATGCATGCATGTTTGTTATGCACAGTCGAACCTTTATCTGAACCAGGATTGTTTCTAGGATTGTCCAGGCCAAGCCAAAGTCACGCTAATTCTTGGCTTTTGGCTTGACGTTGGCTTGGCTGGGCTTCTTAGTTTTTGGAAAAGCCCCGATTGTAATCGCTTTACATTTATAATATTCATAAGATGTATAATATCCAGAGACCGGCAGAGACAGAGGACCAAAGCGAGTGGCTCACTATTAGCACATTTCCAGCACCAATTTCAGCCCATTTTTACGCTAGAATCACCAACTTTGATCTGCCTTAAGAGTTAGAGACAGATCACTAAACTAGTGTGTCCACAAAGCTGATCGATGAGCTGCAAAACCACCAAAGCATCTCATGAGTGAGCCAAGTCGTGAAACAAGTTTCTTGTGAGAGCTCTACACTTGAAACTTGGAAAAGTCGTTTTAGGGTCCATGGCAATACTATGCGATGGCTGTTATAAAATAGAATACATTTATTGAAATGCTATCAATTATACGCGTTTCTTTTGTGCTTCTTTTCACCAAGCACATCGTTTCCAAGTTGATCGTTGGAACGACAATGAGTGGAGAGAGAGATGGAAGACACGGGGTGACGAACCTGAAACAATCAATTTAACAAAATAAAATCGATAAAAACGAACCACAGATGCCATTCCTTTCGCGTTTATCTCTGAAATGTAACTTTTATTCAATTCTCTTAAAGATTTTCACCTATACTTTCCATATGTGAAATATTTCACGCATTTGGGATTATTGTACGGGGGTTTTTTGAATGACCGAGAGATCAGCCTCGGGAGCACAACCGAGGGGGCAAGAGATACGGATCTCTGATCTAAAAGTGAAGGATTCAAAGTTGAACGGGAATCTATTCGATTAGATTTATTCGAAAATCTAATGAGCAAAAGTTCAAACATGAAATCAATTAAAAGTACAAGTACAATTAAAGTACGATTATCACCCATCAAACTACCAAACGCTAGCCACGATTCTTAACTTTAGTTCGATTTGTCAAATCGTTTCTTAACTGTTTACGTTTCATCTAAGAAATGTTAGTAGAGATTTGCGAATAAGAACTTTGGAACATAACACAAAATGTTAAGGCTAAACGTTTTGCATCAATCAAAATCTGCTTTAGTCAAGGGCTTTTACTCCTTTAAATTTTAGTGAAAATTTAAGGACTTATGAAATATCAAGTATAAATGAAACTAATGAGCAAAAGTTAAAACATGAAATCAATTAAAAGTACAAGGCGATTATCACTCATCAAACTGCCAAACGCTAGCCACGATTCTTAACTTTAAGTTCGATTGTCAAATCGTTTTAACTGTTTACTATTATTAGATTTAAAGGTTTCCAAATATTCAATTTCCTTTACGAAGCAAACATCACTTTGGCAACGAGTTCCATGCGGATTTCGGCATTGACTCTTGACGACATCGATAGCGATTTGTGTCACTGATAACCCTGAAACAGAGCTACATTTTACGTATCTATTTTCAAGTTCAAGATTTTAAGAAAAGAATATCAAGCAAAAGCTTCAATCAACTCAATTTCCCGTTATTTAAAAAAACCTTTCACAAACCTTCCAATTCTCAACCACCAAATGACACTGAATTGTGTCATGATAACCCAAAACAAAGATACATTTTTGTGTACTGTATTTTCTGTAATAGTAGTGCGCACTACTATTTTTTTCAACCCCCCTCCAGCCTGCACTACTGTCACAGACTGCACTACTGTTACAGAAAATACGGTATCTATTTTCAAGTTCAAGTTTTCAGTTCCAGTTCCGCCAACTTGCCCGACTCGACTCCCATTCAAACATTCGATCGTTCGTTTTTCTTAAATTTTATTCATTTTAAAAAATAAAATTTCACAAGTTTAGAAATTGAAATCAAATCAAAAACTTACTTGTTAACTGTTCAAATTCTCACCCACTTACCCCATCTTGGCCAATCTTGAGCACACAGAATCCCATTTGACAAAGACAATAGCAATAGACTTGTGAAAATTAAAAACATGACTTTGATCGAAAGGTAAAATGATTGTAAATGCTTTGAAACGGCATGTTATTTATATGTGTGATGATGATGGGAACTCGTTTTTTGCTTCACTTTCCTTCCTGGGATTGCGTCCAGCTGTGTGCGGACGCTCGCCTCGTTTCACTCCAAGAATGACAAAAAAAAATGGGTGAGTGAAACTGATTGAAAAAGAAGAATTGCAATAATCTTGTACGAATTTCATTTTTTACTTTCTAAAAATTTAGTTTAACTTGTAGTGTTTCAAATGATAACTTGTCAATTTTGGCTCGAGTGTGGAAATTTTTAGATGAGTTGTCGCGCCGGAAGGTCCATGAAAATCCACAAGATGTAAAACTTGTAGAAAAATATAAACAAATTTATTGGGAGAATTGATCCCAGAAATTTGGGCATAGTTTATATTTAGCATTTCACCCCCAAGTTTGGCACCATTGATGTGTCTCTTTCAATTGGAAGTTAATTGGAAAATTATCGAGGACAGCCATTGATGTGTCTCTTTCAATCCAATCAAGGAAATGGAATGGAATTCAGCTCATTAGGGAGACAGCTTCGATAAAGAACATCACACAAAGAGGACTAATTCTTTGAGGAGTTCCAGAGCTTGTTAGCTGACTTCAATCGTTAGCTGACTTCAATTGTGCCAGCTGATCTCTCGATCGTTAGCTGACTTCACTTGTTAGCTGACTTCGATCGTTAGCTGACTTCAATCGTTAGCTGACTTCAATTGTTAGCTGACTTCGATCGTTAGCTGACTTCAATTGTTAACTGACTTCAATTGTTAGCTGACTTCAGTCGTTAACTGACTAGCTAACAACTAAATTCAAACGTTTCAAGTTACATTTCAGAGTACTGCAGACTTCTACAGTACAGGAAGAAAAAAAAATACGACAAATTAGATTGACTCTCTTGCAATCCATAAATCTTTATTTTAAGTATAAAGCTTTGACCATTTCCTCATTTCCATTGCTTTCCGTTGCTAAAAATCGAAACCTAATTAAAACTGATTGAAAAAAGGAAATTTCCTTTTGTTCTCCTCTTTTTCATAATGTAGTTTCCTT